TGTATGCATCCCTAGTCAGCATCTTTAAGCCCATAAAGTAATTGCGAAAACTATGGCACCGTTAAATACTTATTACGAACAAATGTTAGAAAACGGTTGATTTCTAATTCCGGAAAAAACCTCACAATTATTGTACAAAGCTGCATCTTTTAGAGCAGCAACGATAGAAACTGCTGTTCAAAAGTTCAGAGCAACTAGAATATTTCCTTTTATTCCCGGCTTATTTCCTGATCATCTATATGCCTATATCGGAAACAACAAACTATCAGTATACAGCAACAAATATCAGAAGAGTGAAAATATCAGAAGATCAGCACTCATGGAAGCTTTATTATTAACATCAATAGAAATGAAGAGTTTCCCATCGAAACGACAAAAGATGCAGAAGATGTGCCATCCACATCGAAGGATGTAGAGCCCGTTCCATCCCCGTCGCAGGATATTGATTATGAATCAACATTCACATTTTCTCCTTAAATAATTAAACCTATCCCCCAAGCAGAGTGAACAGTAAGAAGAAGTGTTGGAAAAAAAACAATTCGGATAAGCATCACTTAAGGAATTACACAGCGTTTCTTTTTATTCATCACACCTTGGACGCACACACCATACTACTCATTCTTCTTCATCTCGTTCATCTTCTGTTTTCCCTAACTACCAACATTCACACAATACACATACCAACCTTGGTTGCTACTCTCGTCGACATTCATAATGTATCAACCTAACAAGAAGCAACAGGAAAAAAGGAAAAGCGACCATAATAATATCTGAAGAATATAGAAATCAATTGGAAGACATTATAAAAACTATTAAAAGAAGAAGAAAATTCTGTAAGAAACAAATGTCAATAATAAATGAATTATCTACAAGCGATGCTTGTATATTTTGTAAGGAACTTTTTATATATTCCAAAGCCAAAGAACAATGGATTCAATGCACTATGTTATGGATGGGCAAATGCGATATATACAAGTGTTAAAAAGGCCGACGAATTTTTAACTTTATTTTTTTTGCATTATTTTATTTGCGACGTTTGTTAATTAAAATATATATATAAATTTATTATTATGTAAAATATAACAATATAAACTTATTATTATTATAGAAAATAGTTCAAATTTTTTATAAATACAGTAAAAGTTCCTAAACTAGTAATTAACATGATATTTTATAAGACAGACCAAATAGAATACCTTTATATTTGCTAAAATTTAAAAATAATTATTTTTACTATTTTTACTATTTTTTAACGATTAAAAATAAAAATTTTATAACTCTATCATATTTTATACGTCTTTTAATAGGTACCCCGTTTTGCCCACCCCTATAGGGCAAAACTAAGTTTTTACATATCTCCGGAAAATTTTATATTCCTGTGAGCCAAACAATTTTTTTTAAAAAGTGGCCATTTTCTTATTGTATAAGGTTCAATTAGAAGATTTAGTCTCATGCGAATTTTCTTTTGACATTTGATTTTTTCTTACGAAGTTAGGCACTCTACTTTCCCCTATATACAGCGTATCCCGAATTTAAATGTCAAAACTTCAGGAGCGTACGGAGGACCGATACACTAAGGAAAAAAAATATTTAGAAATTTGCTCATTTTTTCTTCATTTTTGAGAAGAAAAGAAAAGAAATGAATAAATACAAATACAAATATAAAGAAAAAAAAAAAAAATATATATATATATATATATATATATATATATATATATATATACATAAAATATTCAGAGTATAATATTTTTTGTATTNAAAAAATAAAAAAAAAAAAATATATATAAATAAAAATATAAAAAAAAAAAAAAAAAAAAAAAAAAAAAAAAAATATATATATATATATATATATATATATATATATATATATATATACAAAGATGAATACATACGCGACAAATTTCCAGTTTTCGATAACAAGAATATTTAGAGCTTTGGAAATAGAATTCAGGAAAAAACGTTCTATTGAATCAGCGTTAATTGAGACAGTGTTAAACGAGGTCTTACTGTATTTTATAGCTCTATATCGAGACCTTGATTCATTTGATTCATACACAAACGGTACAGAAATAGTTCATTTGTTTCTTATTCTTTCACTATCTTTAATTCCGTATACAAACGAAATACGATAATCTTATGTGATTAATAAATAATCTATTTTTTTGCACATTTCACATAAGAACATCATTCTTTCTCTTGATGGTTTTCTTTTGCTTTAAAAGAACGAGACTTTAGACATGATTGCGTTTTATAGTCACGACACAGAATGTTGCATAATGTTCATACCACGTGTAAGTATTTCCAGAAATAGAGATTACAACGCTTGCTTTTGATAAATATTTACCAAATACGATATAAGCTGCGTAGAATGCACTTTATTGATCACATGTTGCCATACATGTAATTTTATTATATTGATTGGAATATTGCCTTCAATATTCCAATCAATATATGATAATAATTCCTGTTCTTTTCCAATCAATTTAAATTCTCACGATATCGATGTAGGACAAAAAAAGCATATATTATTATTAATCTTTCATTTTTAAGAAAACGTGCTGCATAACAATGGCAGCCATAAAATTATCATGTACACTAAATTATCAATATTTTGAAAAATTAACGATATTTAAAATGTTTAAACTAATTTTATAACAAGAACTCGTGCAACAATAAATCTGAACTCATTTTAAAGCGTGAAGCTTCTACTTTCACAATTGAATTCATTTTTCACAAAAATGTTTTCATGTTATATAGTAAGTGGAAAAGATACTGTTCTTCTTCGAAAATGTTATAAATTCAAATATCTCTCGAAACATTGGCAAATTTTTTGAATTCATGATTGAACATACCATGAATATACCATTGATTATTTGAATATACCACTTGAAGACTGGAGCCTCCTTTTCACGATGACCTCCTAAGATCAGCTATACGATTTTTTTTTCGCCAAATTATTGACCTCTAAATTCTAAAACTTCGTCGAACTTTTGAGATTTTGGATCTATCCGAAGTTCAATAATTTGGCGAAAAGAAATTGTACAACAGATTTTAGGAGTCGTTATAACGGGAAAGCTTCAATCTTCAACTATATCGTCAATTCAGTCACGAAAAAAAATTTTCAGTGTTTTGAAAGACGTTTAAATTTATAATATTCTCGAGGAAAAATAGTATCTTTAATCTCTCATTTAGTACATGATACGAAAACATTTTTGCAAAAAAATGAATCCAGAATTGTGACAGTAAAAACTTCATGCCTTAAAATGAATCCAGATTCATTGCTGTATGACTTCTTGTTACGAAATTATAACAGTTTAAATATCGCCAATTTTTCAATATATTAGAAATTTAATGTACGTAAGTTTATGGCCACTGTAACTTAATAATTTTAATCCTTCTTAACCCAATCTAGCAATCTGAATTGTTTACGCTCTATGTAAAATATTATTCGTGAATTTTTCGAAGTAAATTTTTATTCTTCCTGAAAAACATTTTAAAAATTTAACATTTAATTTAATACAGTAATATATCTTTTATTATTTTATCATTTATGTCATTTTTTGTTAATAATGATTAATATTTTTCCTTGTGAAAATTTGTTTCCAAAGAACATATAAATAACCAAAATATACAAGTAAATTAAATCGATCCAGTTCTCCGAGTATTAAAAACTGATTTTATACAATGTGGTAAAAATCTACTAATTGTAAGTAGTTTTTGAGTAAGCGGAATCGTGTTTTTTAATACATCAATTGATATTCATTAATCCACATAGCAAAGTACTAAAAAATTGTCAAAATGATTTTCGCAGGATTTTTTTAGTAACCAAAATAATTTAAATGTTCAACTTAAAAATTAACTTGTATATTACTTTTAGGAATTTCTTTATAAAATGTCCTTATGTGACAAGTGTTTTGGAATTTATATAATTAAAAAAGCAAGTTATTTTAGAATGTTTATTAAAAAACATTCTTCGCAAAAAAAAAAAATAGAAATAACAAATTGAGTATTGGCTTTATTTAGTGATATAATATCACATTATTGAAAGTTCAAATTAAACTGTATCGCAACGCAATAACAAATCAATTAACCAATGATGATTAAAACACAGATATTACATTACTTGATAAATATCATATTTGTATTAATTTATTCTTGACTTCGTAATTATTCATTCCAAAGAGGAACGCAATTTATTACAATTCTACAAATTTATTACAAATAAATAACATATTCATATAATATATATAACATATTCAGAATATGAATTTAACTGTAATAATTGTTTAATGTTGTTGTACTTCAGTATTCGTTACAATGATTGAAAATCTTTCTCAATTTTAACGAACAAATTATCTATTCCTACGTAATAAAAAATTTATATTTTTATCCGTATTGTATAAAATCTATTCAAACTGAAACTTTTATTTTCGAGAATATTTTTTTAATTTTTTATTAAAGCTTATAATGTGAGAACGTTTTTTTAAAAAAGTTCCATAATGTATTAAATAAAACTTATTAAAAAGTTCCATATATCTCGATCCCTGATTTTCAAATAATCTATGATCATAAAATTATTAGGTGCTTTATACTATTTAAAATATTTCATGTCAGGTATAATTGTTAAGTAACTTTTTTCTGTTTTATCATTAACAATGTAACTATTTATTTTATATTCAATTGTAAAAATGAAATATATTGAAACATGTTAATAAAGACCATGGTAATGAAATTTTAAGAGCATATACTTTTTTAAGAGGATATATTTGTCATATTTCATATTTCATATTGTAACTTCTTAATAAAACATTTATTTGGATTTTTATGGATCTTTGTTACATTTAGTCTTATTTTTATCTATAGAACACACTGGAAAAATTTGTCAAATTTGTCCCTGTATAAATTATTTGTCCTCCGATAAATTCATACAAAGCCATTGTAGTCTTATAATACTTCTTCATTGATTCTAAAATATAACAAGAAAAAATTCTATCGTTCAGGGATCATTTCCATGCAAAAAGGAGGGCTTTCTAACTCTTGGCCACGAATTTGCCGGAACTGTCGATGCGGTTGGTTCTGAGGTAAAAAACTTTAAACTCGGTCAGAAAGTGGCTGTCGATCCTAATAGCGCCTGCGATAAGTGCACCTTTTGTCACGAAGGATCTTATCAACATTGTAGCACCGGTGGCATAAACAATACAATAGGAATTTTCAGAGACGGTGGATTCTCCACACACGCTATAGTGCCAGAAAGTCAGGTTTGTTTACGTTTTTATTGTCCCTTTCAGAATCAAATTGTTTAGATGACTATGAGATCATTGCATGTAAGAATTTTTCATTCATAAAAAGAGGTATACTGTAATCATTTTTTAAAAATTAAATTTAATATATTATGTTGTTCAAAAAGTTCGTAGAGTTTATGTACTTTTATAATAATAAAACGTTTAAACAAATGTCATTTTTTAGTTAGATATAAAATTCATAAATCATGTTTCTTTTTTCTATGAGAATTTATTAATAGATCACAAATTTTGATGTATTTTTTAAATTTTTATGAATGTAAATAAAGAAACGGAATCTAAATTCGTTTAAAATATTAACAAGCATTTTAGATATTTTGTATAAATATCTGCAATTTATTTATTAGATAACGACCAAAAGTTTATAACAACTGTCTTTTTTGATAAATGATATTATTTGAAACTAGTGTTATAACTTTGTGAAAAAAGAATATAATATAGATATATAATATAGATATATAAGATATATATATATATATATATAAGAAGCTGAGCTCATTTTAAAACGTAAAACCTTGTATGTATTTTGACAGTGTTAAGTTTGTTTTTTTCATATTTTTATATTATGCAATAAAAAAATAAGAATACTTTTATTTACTTTCGAATATCAGGTAAACGACAAAATTTTTGTCACTTAACACTGATATTCAAAATTGAATAAAATGGTGAAAAAAATCGTACAGCAAGTTTTAAGGGCTTTTTATAAAAAATAGAATTCAATCTTCAAGACCATTGTGAATTTAGTTCAAAAAAATTTTTCAGTATTTTTAGAGAATTTTTGAATTTTTACAATTTTCATTCTTTGAGAAAAATGAACTTAATACTATTGCTTTACATTTTAAAATAATTAATCTTTTTTTTTAAAAAATTATAACAGATTAAAGTATTATCTATCAAGAAAACAGTCGTTTTAAACATTCTGTTGCTATTGTATCTATTATTTTAGTTTATTATTATTGATCATGATCTTTACAAAATCTAATAACAAATTAAATACTGTAAAAATCTGTAAATGCTATAAAAAAAATTTAATATCGAAGTATTTTAGAAGTCTGTAAATGCTATTACAGAAAAACAGAATTTAATATCAAAAACGATGAAATATTTCATAAAATAATTATTAATATCAATTAAATTAATATAAAGTAAAATTAAAGCAAGTTAAAACTTGTGAAGTTATAGATAACGAAATTCTAATTCTAATTAAATTATTTCTTATCTTTTGCTATGAATTTCCCAAACACGTACATATGTAAATCGTAAAAAATTGTGAATTTTAAATTATTATTATTATCTTGAATCTTTTATCAGGTTCACCTAGTACCTGATGATGTCGATTTACAACAAGCCGCCCTTGTCGAACCTTTGTCGTGTTTGGCTCATGGATGGAAGAGACTTAATGGCGTTAATGTTGGTAGCAATGTGCTCGTCATTGGCGCCGGAATCATTGGCCTTTTATGGGCCTGCATGTTGCACTTACACGGTCTCAGAAAATCCGTGACAATCACTGAGCCCCAAGAGAAACGACGGAAATTGGTGAACAATCTCGGTAACAATTACTTAATTCTTAGTTTCTAGTTAAAGAATTTATTAGTAAATAAATAGTATGGTTTTCAGCATGTTCAGAAATGGTTATTGTTTATTAATTTCAATAATAAGAGTATTATTGAATTCTTGATTCTATGCGTCAATATTTGATTAATCTTGCTGGTCGAGTCTACTTATCTGAACTTGAATTATTATTATATGAACAAAAAAATAATTACAATAATTTTAAATAGAGAAGAGTAGATTTTTATCACAGAAATTATAACAATATGTGCTCGGAAACTTTTTTTACATCATCTATAATGAATGAAATATCATCGTCGAAATAACATCGTCAAATAAAGTGATAGAGTATTGAAAATAATCATCCTGTTTAAATTATATTATGTTAATTATATATTATTATATATTATTTTTCTAATATGTGATATCATTTAAAGCAATTATCAATGTACTACACATATTGCGCTTTCGTTAGAAGCTTTATTCTTATAATAAAGTATATTGTAGGAATTAATGATACATACTTCTAACCTTCTGAAGAACAATTTTCTCCACTGTTTTATAAACTTTCGTAAGAAATAGTTTATACGAATTATTTCAATGAGTGTTAATTGATTCACGACTGCCTTGTTCTCAGAAGTAATTTTTTCTATTCTTCTTACGTCATTAATATAGCTTTCATTCTAGATGTCTGTTTAAATATTTATGCTTTTACATTATACCATATAATACCAAATATATGCCTACGTTCATTATAATTATCATATTATTATAAAAAAGAAATCCATGTTCGGAAAAGTTTCTATGCGAGAAAACCACATGGTCTAATCGCATGCTCGCTATAGAAAATTTATAGTCTTCGAGTGACCTGAGCCTCTAGTAGTTTTAAGTCGCCAGCAAACCCTTGACCGTTTGTTCGATTTTTATGCAAAAAACCTAACGTGATCTTCAACTATGGCATAAATCAAGGCATTCACATTCTCGAGTATAGGCAAAATCTTTAAACAAAGTCGCGTCCAAGTGACACCTGTGCTATGTCCCAGCTTGGAGCCAAGAAATGTCTCGAAACCGATGGAAAGGAAAACAAGAAAGCTTTTCTTACTTTCCGTCGACTTGCAAGTCAGAATTCGTCCGACTGCTAAACAATTTACTTCATCTCTCGCGATCCACATTAAGACTGAAGAGAGAATTCGTCCGACAGCCAGACACGATAGTTCAACTCGCTCTGTAGTTCAATGTTACCACTGAAGGAAAAAACCCTTGATAACTCAAGCGCGCGAGAAACATACAGTTCACTAATATCCACTTCGTACCGCCTAAACCGCGCGCGAACAGTTCAATTTTAAAAATTTAAGTATAATGTCCCCTTAAAAAAAGACAATTGAGTGCAAAGGACTAATTATATAAATTTGTCCTCCGACAAGCTCATGTAAACGAAATTCTACTATACAGATTTTTATATTTTTATAAATATAATTTAAAAAATGGGACTCGAATAGAAATTTGTTTTGCTTTGGACATTGTATCATATACATGTCCAAGTTAATCATTGAAATTGTGCTTTGGATATTCTATATATTTTTGTAAATTTTTTTACATTTATATGTATTTAATACATATGTATTTAATACATATGTGAAACATTTTAAAATCAGCTCTAAAAGAATTATATATCACGATTATATTAATCAGAAAGATTAGTCTGAAAATGTATATATAATGAAACACCTCTGTACTCGTTCTTAATTCGTCCATTTCTGAAAAACAGGCGAATATAGATTCAACTTTTTTCATAAGAATTAACAAAGAAGGAAATAATTGGTTTCCAGCCGTGAATCGGATTAATAAACAAATATAAATTTAGTAGAAATTTAGTTTCATTGAGAAGCCATCATGGCAAAATATAATGCTTCGAATTTATATTTTACATTTGTTATATTTTACATTTGTTATATTTTACATTTTTAATGTGATATCGTTACTCAATGGTAACTCGTTTATAGAAGGATTGTGACAAAAGGCAATAGATTCTAAAGGTCCACGTTGTTATTGTTACACATTTATACATTTAATGGTAATGCCAAGGACCATTTCTAAATTTATTTACTGAGCTACCCAAAGTTAGCAGGTTAAAGACAGTAGTTCCCACTTAAACGTCCGCAGTTAGGACCGAAAGCAAATACTTAAGTGGCAATATTCTGTGAATTGGCACCGAAAGAAAGAGAGATGAGTATCAGCTGTTATACCGATACCAGACACCAATATAGGTATCATATATACATACATATATTACTTATTCTATGTTGTTTAAGTGTCATGTTTCACGCGGCCCCATGATAAGGTAGAGTAGGAGAATAGTCCCAAGAATTGATGGGGACAGCAATGGGCAAATATGCGGATATTTAAGTGAGGACTATTATATTTTCTTTAAGGGCGAACTACTTTACCAACATTCATCGAAATATTAAATTTACTATGTATATATAGTTTATTTATATAAGCCATAAACTTATAGCTTACACAGGGCATATCGAAATAACATACACAAGAGGGTAGATGATTTTTCAGACAGAAATAAAAAAAAAATATATAGAATAAAATTTTTTGATAATAATAAAATTTTAATGCTTCGTTTTCGAGAAAATTGACTTTGAAGGTTTATCAAATAAATTTAGATAATTCTAGATCACAAGAAAATAATTAACAGGAGAAAAATAAATAAAAATTGTAAAATAAAATTTTTTTCATTTAAAGCTTCAATTTAAGAAAATAAATTTTGAATGTGTTTTGTTAAAAATTGCCGTGTACACACGTACTTAATAAATTTTCAAACTCAATTCTTTCGAAAACGAACGAACATCTTACACAAAAATTTGATTCTACATTTTTTACTTATTTTCGCTATATAAAAATAAAATTAACTTCAAATTTAATTGATAAATCCTTAAATTAAACTTTCTAAGTCTTCAAAAAAAAAATTTTATTCTATATTTTTCTCTTATTTTTTTGTGAAAAATCACCCGCTCCCTACATATAACAAAACAGTGTTATTCTGCTATAATATTTCTTACTATGCCAATGAGTAACGATAACGCAACAAAATACGATAATAAATCTGGATACACTTTAAACAAATGATTACAATATTCGTATAAAACAGTATAGGTCTAGAGTCTAGAATGATCATGCAATAAGAAATCTTTAGTAACAAACATTGAGTTGTTGGACGAATATTGAAGTATTTTCTTGTCGCAAAATGTGACGAATATTGAATTTAGTAAATATAGGCAGACTATATAGAATACAGTATCTCACAAAAATAATCAAATATATTTTTATGAGTTATATGAAACATTACTACACTAATATACTAACGAGATATAACTTGTAAGATTGTAATATAATTATAATTATATTGACAAAGTATGAAACAAATCTATGAATTGTAGAAAGTTACAAGATATTCAGTAGAAATATACATTTCTGTGATCATGATACAACCGACCACAAGAGAAGTCTACATGTAAAAATAAATCGAAAAAATATTTTTACATTTAAGGAATTTCATTTCCAAGGAACTTAAATTTGAACATTCATTAAGCATACTTGAATTTAATTAATTCCAGACTGAATGGGGAGTAAATTATATGAAGGATTTTACCTGCAAAAATATAAAATTCTGCTTAAGGCTTCGTTTTTAAGAAAATAGAATTGAATACATTTAATTAAGAATTGGTTTAATATGCGTATATTTGATAAATTTTCAAATATAATTTTCGAAGCATCTTATAAAATAATTGTATTTTACATTTTTGACTTATTTTCATATATAGAACAACTTTCTATCAGTTTTTGTTAAATTCAGAATTAGCCAAATCTAATTTGAATTTTCAAGTTGAAAACACTTTTTTGGAAACGAAATCTTCAGTGAAAAAAAAATTATTCTTTCTTTTCGACTTATTTTTTTGAAATTATTTCCTAGTTGGTTGTACCTTGATTACGGGAATACATAATATTTCACAGAAATTACAAAATTATTTAAACAGTTAGTTGTCTATTGATTACTAACCCAAACCTCCTAATTTTCTACTGAAAAAAAGTATATGTAGTGCATTGGTTCCAAATTCTATTAATATCATCATAACAGTTATGTTTTATTACAATGCCAATAAAATTTTAAAATGTTTTATATGTACTATATATTTAAAATTTTTTAAATGTACTATATATTCATAAGATTTTTCTATAATAAATATTCAAATATTTTCATGGCATGTTTATTATTTATTTATATTTTTCAGATCTTGATTTCGTAGCAGAGAGCCCAGAACGTTTAAAACAAACATTCGACGTAGTGATCGATTGTAGTGGTTCGGCTGCAGCTGTGCAAGCAGCGATTCCTCTATTAGGTCCAGGTGGTCGGTTATGCGTATTCGGAGTTGCCAATCCCAGTGCAAAATTCAGTATTGAACCATACGAAGTAAGTTAATCAGGATTGTGTACTATTGTATATTCCAAATATTTGACTTACTTTTCCATTATTTATAAAATATCACGAGTAGTTAATTTTATTTTGTTTTCCTGACAGATTTATAAGAAGGAATTGACAATCTTGGGTGTAAACATAAACCCTTTTTCGTTCCCTAGAGGATTAGGTTTGTTGCATGCAATGGCTGATAGATATCTTAACTATGATAAATTAGGTATTAAAGTATTTTCGTTATCACAATACCGTGAAGCTTTAGACAGTTTAAAGAAAGGTTTGATCAGTAAAGCAGTGTTCAAATTGTAAAAAAGTAAGTTCGAATGATGGAATTAATAAAATAAAGACCCTTTTTGAAAATGTTTAAACACGTTTAATTATTTTGCCCTAGAATACAAATATAAGGAAATATGATTTTTACGTAATACTTGTTTATTAAAATTCATGTTAGTTAATATAAAAGTAAATATAAAATTGCAAACTCGTAAAAAGGTCATAAAAAAATCTTGCTTATCATGATTCTAAATTTCTCTGCACTAATGATATGCGAAAAATAAAGGGTAACATAAGAAATGTCTATTTATAATGATTTTATTATATGCAGCGCATTTTGTTGCTGGCCCATCTTTTGTTAAATGCCTAGTTAAATGCATTAAACTTTGTTTTCTTAGAGATAGTAACTAAAGTATCCAAACTGTAATTTCCCCAATGAAGTTGTTTTGTGACATTCTTGTTCTTATTTCCCTTTATCCTTCGTATCATCTCCTCAGACATGTAAATTACTGATAGTTTGCTCCGGCACTAATAAAAATTCTCGTTTCTCGCAAATACAAATGCTTTCTTTCAATCTTCATTTTTTCATGTATAAATTTCGAAATAGATTATCTTGTCCTATTGGAGAATTTGGAAGAAAGTTCATAAATTTTCCAACTCTTATGGTTGGCGAAAGCGAAAACAAGATCCAACACCAACATTTTTGGGACGACCGCAGTTCCGAGGAACATTAAAAATACCTTAAGTTTGTCCAAAGGCGAAATCGATCCCTGTTATGAGTATGCAGTCTTTATACATTTGTTAACATAAATACCCTAGTTATGATTATAAATAGCTTCATCTACAATATACAATTGTTGATCTAGATCTAAAACAAATTTTTACATGTTTTGTATCACGAAGGTATTAACATTATAATAATTTCTTTTTTTGTTACCAAACATTGTGTAACAAGGCAACTATAGAGTATTGTTACTTTGAATTCTACATAATGCTCTAAATAGAGCATTAACAAATGTTTTAACACATTCGAGATCAAAATTAGATCAAACCAGTTTAATACGTTTAGTTAATGTTCTGTTAGAAAAGCTTAAAAACTTATAAAATGCCTTTACTTTCAAACTGAGTAAAAGACATAAAATAATCCACAACCAGATCTGTTAACATATTAAGAAGTAATGACGAAAGTAAAAATTTTATATCTTGAACAAAAATGCTATGAACACAATACTATATCTGAAATGTTACTAAAAAGCATAAAGAATAAAATAGAAAAGGAAAAAGATACAGGTGATTAGTTATAATAATTAATCATGCAACATACTTGTACTGTATAATATTATAAAGATAAATGAAATTTATATTTGAACGATATGTCTTAAGTAATATTATACAAATTTATTATAAGTATAATAATTACAGATAATTTTTTTATATTACATGTGTTTTAGCAGTTATTTTGTTGTAGATCCTTTTGTTCTCATAAAAATAAAACAAGAGTAGCAATATTTATGTTCATAATTTCGTTATTATCTATATTAGCTGTGCTCATTTTTCTGGGATATTAACTGTTTCATACATATGACTTACGTAGTGATCTAAATCATCTATATAGTATGAAAATGATTTTAATAAACGTGACTCATTATGTGAGTCATGATGTTTCTTAAAAAGATATGGTCTTGAAATATGTTTGTTTTACTCTTACTAAATTTCTTTCATTCTTTATTATAACTTCAGAAATATTAACTGCCATTAAGGATGATCTTGTCAAAATATGGCAGTCTCGAATGTGTTAAATTGTATGAATGTATTCTTGAACTTTTACTACAAACTATGTCAAAGGCCGATATATGTTCATAACATCATTATCAATCACTTCTTTGTGTTTATCAGTTATACTGATATATGAAAAAAGGCTATATATATATATATATATATAAAAATCTCAAACTATTGGTAATATCATTACATTTTTTTCATTTTGTATCACTATGTATTTCTCTGGAATGTTAGTTGTATCCTGCCAACATCTACTATATTGTTGGCCCCTAAAACTTTTATTATATTCACTAATAATTATTCAATTTCATTTGTAAATAACTACAAAAATAATCATCTAATAGAAATTAAAAACAAATTAGGCCCCTAAAGTTATTGTATAATAATGTTTCTAATATCTATTAAGAATGATGAACCATAGTACTATCAGCAACCATTTCGATAAGTTGCATTGATTCGCTGCCGCCCATTGAAGTCCTGGATAATTAATATTTGGCGTAGAAATTTCTGCAAATTTATAAATTTGCTCATACATGAAATAAGATGAATTTATATTACACTGTAATTGCAAATGTTAATATACAAAAGCGGGAAAAAATTATTTCCAGAAATCAACATACCTCATAACAATTGTAATAAATAAAACTAAGACTACCAAAGGCCCTGAAGAAACTGGTACTACTCCAGTCCCATAATAAAGGGCTTGGCCACAAGCTGGCGGACACACAGGGACAGTAGTTTCTGCGCAAAAAAAAAGAAACAAGGGAACATCTAGAGCATGCTAACTACTACTTAATAAATGAATATACTGCAAATTAAATTGCTGTTTACATAATATGTACAAAAAAAGAAATATATAAGAATGAAATAAACTATGTGTAAAAGACTTATATAAGGACAAGTATTATCAAATTACAAATTATCATGCACAATTTATAAATGCATATATATTTATCAATTCTACAATTCAATGTAACTATAATTACAATTAGAGAAATAAAAGCAATATTTCTTAAAGGATATATATTATTAAACTTATATATATGTTTCAGAATACATACCAAATAATTCAACTTTTGTTTCTGCAGTTCCTAATTTATTAGCTGCTCTGCACACATATTCTCCATATTGTCTTTTTTCAATTGTGATCACTCTAATTGTTGTATCTGTATATTGATCTGCAGTTGCAAAATGTGATATGCTATAATGCTGATTATTAGATAATTGAACATTATCTTTTAACCAAACAATAGCTGGTGGAGGATAAGCTTCTACATGACATTCTAAATCCATGTCATATTGTAAAGCTTGACCAAGGCGTGGCCTGGGTGCTGTAATTACAGGTGCAAATTCAACTTCAACATTAATATTACGTCTAGCTCCACGTCCTACTCCATTTTCAGCTACACAATAATATGTTCCACGATCTTCTTTACGAATTGCAGGAATTTTCAATGTATTGCCACTGTAATTTTTCAATGTACTAGAAAAGAGTTCATTTGAAAGTCTCTTCTATAAAAAGGTAACTACCTACCGATAAATTGATCCACCTGTTGGTAAAATGGCATTATTTTCTCTACGCCATGAGATTCTAGGTGTAGGAAAACCACCTGCATAACATTCAAGTTGCACAGGCTGTCCCTCGGTAACAATCAGAGTTCTGGTTGAATTGTCACTGATAATAGGTGGTCTACGAACTTGCAGTTCGACATTTGCAGATACATAATTATTCAAAGATATCAAAATTTTACACTGATAAAATCCAGCATCAGTCTCTTGAATATCTTTTATCTGAAGAATGGATTACATTATTATTTGAGTTATATAACCAAATAATAAAAATAATATTACCTGTAATCTAAAGGTAGATAAGGCGTCATCATACTTGAGTGCAAATCTAGTATCTCTTATAATTAAAGTACTACCATGCGAAAGTGGTAATTGGTCATTGGCAACATTTTTATTAATTTTTGTCCATACAACTGGAAAGTCAGGTGCATATAAAACTGAACATCGAAATTCTACAGTTTCACCAATATCTTTAATTTGCTCTTGGGAAATGTAAGATATCGTTGGTGTACGTTGACTCTTAACTGAAAAATACGATAGGAATGTTTCTAGATAAACATTAGTTTAATTACAACAAATAATATTATAGCATTCTAAATTCTAAATAATAAGTTCTAAGTAAAAAGAGAGATGTAATACGCAATTTATTGTGTGACTTTGTATATTATATTAAATTAATTGCATGTAAAAATGTTTTATAAAGTTAGACTTCGTATAAGGGTTAACGGACATTGACTTTATTAAATAGGCAATGGCAAATTTATAGGAATATAATATTTATATTAAAAAATAATACGTGCAAGTAAATCTTTATGTTTTTTTACCTGTATATAAAAAAGCGAGCGTCAAAAATATATAAAAAGTCTTCATCATGCCGTACATGTCAAAGAGCGCAAGTATATTATAATGGAAAGGGAGTATACTTGAAACTCACAGGTGTCTGTTAATCGAAAATAAATATGGCGAATGACGCTACATCCTTAGTCAAGAGAAATACCATAACCAAAAAAGATTTAAGACATAATATAAATTAAAAACATTAATTTCCGTATCTTTATAACAGTTGTTTAAATACTTAATTTTGTTATACAATATTTTATCGTTAATAATAATAATTTTAATTAAATTAATAATTGTACACATGATTTATTATGTTCATTCAAAAATTTCTAATATAGTCATATTTATACATATTTACAAAACGATAAATCTCTAAACTGTATTACATTACTTTTTATAAAGATATTTTATAAAGATATTTTTAAAGTATTTTACCAAAAATTTATTTGATTAATAAAATTAGAGAAATGATTTTAAAAAAAATTCTTCATAATATTTCCGTATATCAAATCAAGAAAACATATAAGAATAATTATTGGAAAAATAAATGTCAACAAATAAATAAGAATCACAATTAAAATAATAATGCAATTAATTTCCTATTTTTGTGCTTTTTTTCCTCTTTGCTAGAAAATCATATAAGTTTATCGGAATTATTAGAAAAAATTACGTAAGTAGATATTAACAATTATAGTAAAATGTCAAAGTATTATACAGTTAACAGTCATTTCCTATTGATTAGCTTTTACTAAGGTTTTGCTTAGATACGAAGGTTATGTTATTTAAGTTATGGACAATGTCAAGAATCTAGTGCTATACTATTTCCGGAAAAGTGAACAATACCAGACCACGTAACTAGTTCAATCAATTTAGATATCCAATAAAGAAATTGGATTACGCCGAGAATAGAACCAGATCTTTTTAATTATATTGTTATATTTCTCTACTCTATAATTATCTTTACATCTCTATATCTATATCATTCTAATAGAGAAATAGATATGGAAAATGAAACTTTTTACATTAAAGAAGAGCATAACTCATTCATTATTCTTAAACAGTGACGTTGCGTGCAAACTTATACCCATCCCTTTATTGGTATTTCAAGTTCATGAAAGAACGACTTCGTAATATACTGTACAGACATGATACGTAACATAGCATGTTGTGCTCATTCGGTAACCATAGCGATTCGAAAACCTCATTGTTTCGTGTATTCTGCTACCGAACACGTACACAAGGGTTAAAATCCTTGATACCTTTTCGCGTGTGTGAAACATATATCATTTCAAATGTATACACAAGTAATGCATATGTCATGCGATGTATATCAAACATAATGTGTTCGTACATGTGTGAACATTTACAACAATATTTAGAGGTAATTAATAAAAAAAAATGACCATGAACAAAGAAATATTTAATGAAAAACAAAAACACAATTCGGAAAATTGTAACTTTTGCAACTGTTCTAGGTTCCAAGAATTATTATACGTCAACTTGATAACAAATTCTTACAAGAAAAATTCATAATCATTTGTTACTCTTACGAATAAAATTATACATTTATGCTAGATTGTAATGGTGTTTATAGATATAGTCCGAATGTAAAAGAATATCGGAACACATGTGATCTCTCAATTACATATATATTCTATTCGTGCAAAGGCATGCAAAGGTATAGCTATCATTCGTAAATAACACACGCATGGTCATGTGTGTAACATATAAGTATCATCCTGCCACGAGGAGGTCAGTACTTATGTGTCACAGTATTGCGGTAGAAGTTACCGGCGTCATTTGACAACTAAGAACACGGTGTTTAATAATTAAGGATATTTTACCAAATTTTAGATCAAGTATATATTACACAGTTGTTATTTAGAATTAAAAATTCAAAGAAAGAAATAGGAGTGGCAATTATTATCTAGCGTTAGTGATTAATATATTTTAGTGCTGTTTAATGTTATCAGCTTCAACTGGAAAAGTAATTTGTTCACATGAAAGTGCTTTTCTTTTTGAAACAAATTATCTAAAGTGAAAAAATGATCGATGAAGAAAAGTTTCTAAGTTATTTCGGAGTCTTCCGAACAAAATATGATCGTATTAATTATTCAGAAATATAATCTATGTCTTGTCAATATATACGTTCCTGACAACTTTCTGAATATATTTCTACGATATTAAAAATCACCATTATAAAACAGAGTGTCTTCTTCAATAATGTACTGTTGTACTGTTTTCAAGTGTACAAGATATCAATAATGATATTTGAAATCATAAATCAGAAGAAAAGGAACTATATACGTAGATAAGAATGAAATTACATAAATAATAATTAACAATCAGATGTAAGAATAAAACGGAAGTTTAAAAAAGAATTAACGAAGGAAGTGACGAACGAAGTAAAATGTTCTGACTAAAAGAACACAACAAAATATACACAACAAACATTTATATATATTTCAAAACATTAATCATAAAGATTGCAATTAATTATCCAAAAACATCCAGTTCTGTGTAACGGATTTGTATTCGTCTTAGATCCGATAAAAAAACTGTTAGCATGTTTCTTAATGGGCCAAGGGTACCCGAACCTCGTCTGATTCGGAAAAGTGATAACTATAGAGTAGATAGCTAGTATTCCATTCATAATTGAGAAAAAGAGTCAAAGCAAGGCTAAGTCACAAATACAAACTGTGATCGATCATCATTTACTCAACTATACTGACGTTACTGTTGCAAGTTTTACATATAAATGTCGATCGGAACCAGAATCTGATTTTTTTATCAATTCTCCGTTATTTCCTGTAACACATTTGTCAATCGATCAATGACTGAAATAAAGTTGCGAAAACGCTCGTCAATCGATGTACGTGCAACTATACATTTAATGTTTTAAAAAAAAAAACAATTTTTTTGAGAAAAAGATCAGAAGTTTATTATTACTGACACTCATAATGTTACATACGGTGACTCCAGTGTATTCCCTTTTCTTTACCAAACTATGATTAGCACGATGAGCAACGAAAGAATTTATAAAGTTAACAATTTTCAACATCGATAATATACCCTTGTAGGAAGTTGTGACACTTGGGATTTTCATGCGATATAATAATAATAATAATTTGATGAAGATTAGTGTGTTGCATGAAGCATCATTTAGTGCGAATCGTTATCATGAAAATAGACAGATCGATCTCGCTCTCTGTTAAAGAAAACAGAATTTTATTATCATTTCAATCTACAGGATGGCAATATTGATCAAAATTACCCTGTGGAACTTATACTTTTTTTTAACTGTTACCGATGACAAAGAATTCTTCTCGACATTGTTTATCAAACATTTTTGAACACAATGGATAACAATGAACTTCGAATTGAGGATGAAACACAGGTATTTCGCATTTTTTCCCTTTCTTTTTATGATCAATATAATATCTATATGTAAAAAACTAATAACTACCCGTTAATTATCCATAGTTAGATAGCAATAGGAATATATATACATATATAAATTATACTAAATGTTCTTTCTAATGGATAAAAAAAATATGGTGAATATTTTAAAAATTGCATCGTACTCGTTTCAGTTGATCGATACATCTCATCAATAAAATGTATCTAAATAATGCGTACAAACCAGCTGGGAGATTTAGAATCTAGATTCTAGATTATTCACTTAACTACATGCTATGCTACATAAACGAAAGTTCCGTTACTAAATTATCCAGAAAATTACGAAATATTTATACGATAAACGTTTTCGCGACTAAGTATTTTATATTTCAACGATCCCTCTGCAGAAGATAAGGCATAATAATAATTATATACGCGCAATGAAACAAAGTATTTAAATTAACAAAAAGCTACAATACTGCTAAGATCACTATAAAAACTGCTAAAATTACTATAAAAGTTGTCCTCAACATGTCCTCAATGAAACATTATATATTCCAAGTTATATATTCCATATTCCAAGTTTTGTTAATTTTGAAGCAAATAATGTAATTGGATATAATTATGTATTTATACCAATAAAAAAAAGATATTTAATCTTTCTAGAATAGCCACAGCAGACAGCCGAGTTTATCTATACATAACACAAATATTACTGAATCAAGCTCGAACGAATCTCAAACGAACGTGAATACGATGGGAACAGAAAATGCGCCATCGAAAGAAACATCCGAAAGTTCAAAGAATTCTTCGCCCCGAAAAACCATGGCAAATTCTATAAAATCAGATTCTCCCAGTGTGAACAAAAGCACGCAAGTTGAAAATACCAAAGAAATAATTTATGAAGTGGATAAAAATGGTATTCAATCGAATGGATCGCCAATAATTAACAAAAAATTATCCAGGGCCAGCGTTTATCCCTCAGGAACAAATGTGACTGCACGGGATGCTTTCGGTAGGATTCCAATACTTTCAACATTTTTCTATCTATCTTTGATTTCTTTAGTTTATTTCTTTTGCAATTCTCTTTCTCTTATTATTTAATATTTACTAAAACATTACTAAAACATTTACTAAAAAAAAAGGAAAAGAAAAGAAAAGAATTTAATTAAGAATTTGAATGGCCGGTATATAAAATATTCGTAATGGCACGTTAGCCTTGCAGTGGTTGAAATAGGCCTAAGTCAATAAACTGCGATCAATATGCATATAAATGTCAGTATGTCACGAATGATGGATATTAATAATGGATCGGTAACTTTAACGGAATCGGATTATCGTCAAGCCAACACGTGTTATCCTATTATTATTCTTCTTTTTCGTTTCATGGAATGTGAAACTTCTGATAACGATAATTATACCCCGCCTTTTGTAAAGTTACTTTAAAATTTGTACGAGGTATGTGACTTTATGACTGTTTCTTTTGCCACGTAGACTCTCAAAGTTAAAGGATTTTGCACAGTTTGCCGTATGCATATACAATCAATTCAGACACAGTAACGGATTGCAATTTCACGCAACAGGTGCTGACTATCTTGTTTACGCGCATAAATATCATCGATAGGAAGTTATTACGCTGAGTGTTTCTTTTATACATGCATTGGTTAATTATCTTTTGATCTATTTAAAAACTTCAAGTAACGCTATTAGTTAAGAGCAACATTAGTACAATAATTTTGACTTTATATTCCGAAATCTGAAATTAATTTAAAGATATTATTTTTTGTAGGTCCTAAACTTACAGTACCAGCGACACCAGAAGATACTCCGTCGTTGCCAGAAACACCGATTTCTGAAGATATACCACGAAATATTTTATTGCAAAAGGATTCGTCCTCAGAAGGGGAAGTGGATCCTGAAACACTCTACTTCCGGTATTTATTTTCCAAAATATATTTTTTTTAAATAGAAAATATCTTTAAAAAATGTTTGTATGATCGTGATAAGTATGTGGACACTTTTAAATTATTGCAATATAATTCAAACAAATCTCTTTTGATTTGAACTTGACATTTATAATTAAGATATTGATAAAAAGAATAACTAATATTAAAATAATTGCTAAAGGCTTTAAATATGTCGTCGTTGTTGAAATTTTAGAACGATTAAAATGTGTGTTACTTACAATATTGAAAAGATTTATACAGATTTTATGAAGCATCAGCTATTTATTAAAGATGAATATGAAACTTAAAAATTGCAGGAAATTAACGATAGAGGAATATTCGTCAATTGTCGAAACGTAATAAAAATATCAATCTTTTGAATGAAATTATGCTATAACAATAATTTATATATGGTAGTATACATACAGTACAGAATCTCTAATTTCACCAATTTTTTGTTCTTTATTTTTTCAATTGATTAAAAAGAAAAAAAAAGGAATAGTAATCTATAAATTCATAATCATAACATGTAAATATTATCACGCATAGTGAACAAAAATAATGCAGTCGGTTTATCAGGAACATTTCTATATAATTAGCCAGTAACAGAAGCGCGATGTTACAAAACACAGAAGTAGAAAAAAAGTGACGTTTGGATAATTAATTTTCTCATCGCATGACCTCTAGCAGTACATTACATTATTGCGATTTTATGCTTTATATCAAATAGCTTTATATCAATCGGCTTTATATCATAACGACAGACTTTTTTCTATTCATAGCTGACACAATCTAAGATTCGGTCTAGTTATGAGTGTGGTTGTTGCTTTTCTGTTAAATCATTCTGAAAGACATTAATTATTCAGTATATATATTTTCTAAATAAGCTTCACTATTTTCCTTAACGATTTTCAAATTATTTTAAAAATTATCTCAAATGATTTTAAAATGATTTTAAAATAATTTTGAAACAATCTCCTAAAACACTGAATGACAGTTTATTTGAAATAAATTTTTTGAAATCATGCTAGATGATCTTGAAATGATACTGGATGACTTTAAAATACTTTTGAGTTGATCTTAGAATAATATTGCAATAATTTTAAAATAATCTCGAAAAATTAGTTTGCTAATATGTTGGCATTGACCAATTGCCATAGTCCGAATATTTAACGCTTTTTTGCGTCCGTTTTCAGGGTCATCTAACTCGCTTATCATTTTCATGTTATATCCTGTCATTTCATATCGATTTAGACAGATATTGCACTGCAACATTATTGGCGATAGGAATTAAAATAAAAAAATATAGCAATTCCACATCGAAAATTCTTTATTTCTTAAATTGAACTTGGTGATATTTAATTGCGTGCATGCATACATACATATATATACACATATAAGTACAGACTGAATTTAGGCATTATTTAAAAAGTTCCACCATTGTATAGTGCGATTTTTTACAGAAGTGCATTGTCTTTTTAATGAATTTTCGTGATTTTTTTTATACAATTTCTCATGCCATTCCTAATAAAAAAGTTAAAAATATCGAATAAAAATGTCGAAAAGAGTTCTTAAGATATTTCAAATTTTATACAGCATTTAAATAAGAATATATAATTATTTGCGTTATTTTTCTGAAAAAAATGAAAGAAACATTCAATACAAAATTGAATAAATTGACAAACAGTATTATCCGTATAATAGAATATAATGGAAAGAATTCTTTTTCAAAGTTATTTTTACAACATTTCAAAGTGATGTTTTTTTTTTTTTTTGTATTCTTACAAATACAAAAATTTAAACTTAATCAATAAACCGTTTCATTCCGATCATTTCACCTAGAGAAATATTACGGAATGAGACGATTGTTAAAGTAGTTATAATTTCAAAATAATAGGAATATCTATTGCGGTCAAGTAATACATAGTAGTCGAGTCAAATTAATCTGGTATTTATTGTGCGAAAGTTAATATAAAATATGAATGATTTTGTAAAGATTTAATGATATGTTTTATTATGATTTTTATTATGATTATCTTTTATAATGATATACTTTATTAAGATTTTATACGAATTCAAAATATATTGTTCATTCCTATTTTCACCTTGTCTCTTTTCAATTGTGTTTATCATCACGCAAAATGACAAATGAGAAGCGAGTTAAAAGGATAAAGATTTCCTGACAAAAACATAATTGTCAAAACTATCCTAAAAGTTTGAATTTGTCATATTTCTGTTACTGTTTCCCATCAGAATAAAACTCAATAAAATGGTTAAATTAGCAAAATAGGCAGGTTTGGCAATCGTTCATTGTTCCGCTAAAATACGATCAAAATTATTCGATCCAACCCGGTTCTGAAGTGTTAAATACTAGCATCTCGGGAAATTTGAGTAAATTTTTATTCAAATAATAAATAGTAAACAATAACTTAAAATATAATAATTTTTATTATGCAGTAGAAGAAGGAAACCTAAACACATTTAACAATAATATTTTATTAAATATTTGCATGTAGAATACAAAGACCATTTAGGTAGAGTTTCGTAGCTTTAGTCTTTTTAAAAAGACTTTACCTTTTAAGATCGTTTTACCTCCATTGTTTCAGCAGATACAAATTGATTTTGTGAGGAAAATTTTACACCACAATTAATTTTAAATGGAATTTTAAATTAATAATTTTCCTCAAAGTTTGTACTTTTCGCCTTAATAACCTTTCGTCGAACAAGTTTCGACATGCTTGATGTACATTATAGTGAAGAGAATAATAGAACTCATTTAAATTGTTATAATTTCGTAAAAAAAATCATGTAACAATCTAGATTCTACTTGGTTTCATTTTAAAGCATAAAACTTTTATTTTGACTGCCCTCTGTTTTTTAAAAAATAATTTTACATTTGAAACATTGAAAATTTTTTTTCATAAATCCACTATGGCCTTGGAAGTTGAAACTTTCTCTTTACAACAAATTTTCTCTTTTTTCCACCATTTTATTGAATTTTGAACATTAGGAACGACAAAAATTCGAGAAATCCTAACATTCGTCTTAATATTCAATAAAACTTGTTTCAAAGGCTGTTGAAAAAAGAAAATTTCAATTTTCAAAATGATAATGGATTTAGTCAAAAAAATTTTTCATAATATTTAATAACAAAAAGAAAATTTTTACAATTTTCGAGAATAGAAATATATTTATTTTCCATCTGTTGTAAAAATATTTATTTTATATATATATGTCGTAAAAATATTTTTGAACAAAAAGATTTGAACAAACAAAACAATCAAAATAGGAGTTTTATGTTTTAAAATGGGAGTAAATAGATTGATGTATGATTTCATGAAATTAAAACAGTTCGATTATCGACAATTTTTCATCGTGTTCCTTTGCATAAATGATTACATTTATAATTTTCAAATAGAGCGAGAATTGTTATATTAGTAATGACTGTATACGCAAAATTCAATCAATTTTTCCAAAAGTTTCCCATTAAATAGCCGAAGCTAAAATTTTATATTTGGAGTTTTTCTCCTCGTTCTCTTAAAATTTTATGTTGATCCGTCATCGGCCTCTTTCAAAATTGCAACTTAGTTGACTTAAACCTCCATACAAAATAAACCTCTAAATGAACCTCCGCTCCCCTCTCACCGCCAATCAAAACGTATTATAAAAGATGTCAAAAGACTTCAAGTATAAAATTTTAATTTCAGGAACTTAACCGTTTTGAATTTCACAAATCTAATATATAAAAAACAACGAAAGACAGCAAATAGTACAAAAATTAAATAAGGACAACTATGCTTCGTTGGCCACTGCTGTTAGTCTTAACCAATATCAATATACATACATGTTCTTATTGACAATTGCATATGTACGATACGATTTTGTTTACTTTAGATACACGTATTACAATCCTATTACATTAGTTGCTAGTTATTTGCTCTATCTTACACACAGATTTTGTAAAATTGAAAGATCTATATTCCAAATGGTTGAATTCTCGATGCTAAAATTTTATATTTGGATTCCTTTCACATTCTTTATATGAATTTTCTTTCCAAATCTCATCTCGATCAGCAGGAATAGGATCATTTAGATTTACAAACCAAAATAATTTGAAGAAATAATTGAAAATTTAGTTAGTTAAGAATTACTTTTAAGAATGATGAAGTATAAATGATTCTATATTTAAAATTATGTATTAGTATTTTTTTTATAACTTAAAATTTCGAATTTTTACTACGAATTCGCAAAATGAATTTTTCAATTTAACAACACTGTAACAGATTTCATTTTACTTAATCATAAATGAGATTCAAACTTCTGTATCGTTGATATAGTTTTCCAATTCACCGTTGTTTAAGCGTAGAATGTGCTAAAAAATGAATAAATGACCTTTTTCAATTAGTACTTTAGATCTTGAGATGTAAATTCCATTTAAATTATTGAATTATTGAATATGAGACCATTGGAAATTCCTATTATGAGACAGGTCTTATATAAGATACCCAATGTTTATTTTTTAAGGGGTTTCTGTTAAAAAAAAAAAAAACGGAAAGAATAGGGATAAAGATCGGAAATGGTATTGGAAATTAAAGTAATATAGTTTATAAAAAGACGGCGAAATTTTTTAGTGTCCTTAAAAGAACTCTAGAATTTTTGGGTACGTAAAGAAATATTGACATTTTTCCTGAAGAACTGGTATCAAAGATTCTTGGTAGAAAGCCTGTATTAAGCCAAGAAATTAATATGGATAATAGATATTTTGGTTTACGGGGATTGGATATAAAACGAATAGCTTGCGATCATGAAGAAAATTACGACATAAAATGCTTATTTTGCACAACTCTATATTCTTCTAATACACGGCGAACAATAAGTTCATTGTAGTGTTATTGATGGACTCACGAAAATGCGGGACTGAGATAGATTTTGTATGCCCAATATGCAAAAAAAAAAAAATTAAAAAAATAAATGACGTCTTATATTAGAAACCCTTATCTGCGAATTTGCATAATTTTTGTTTTTAATTTAGTGAATGAAGATATTGATATCTCATTTTAATTTTAACATAATTAATTAATTATTTAATTTTAACATATTAATTTTCCACACAATTATGTAATTATCTGATTAAGTTTTATTGGTGGCTGCCAATAAATAAAATAAAACAAATAAAAAAGAAACAGATAAAGAAATATTTTTATAAATATTTTGGAAAGTAAGGCTAAGTAATCAGATAATTTAATTTCATTTCATAATTTAATTATAATACTTATAATTATAATTATCTCATAAACATTATATTTTATTATTGATTTAATATTAAATAAATTTTTTAATTTATTGAAAAATACTATTGAAAAATCATACTATTGAAATTATTTGAATTATTTGAATTTCCAATATTTATCTTAATATTAATTTATTATTCTTCATTAAAAATTTTACACTATATTAACGAAATTTTTAATCCATATTTTCCTATCAAATCAATTAGGTATTAACGATATTGAATATATGAATATGAATATTCTGAATTCAATAAAAGTCATATATTGGTGCAGAGTTCTCTTTTCTAGAGAATTACGTCATTGATATTGGTGCAGAGTTCTCTTTTCTAGAGAATTATTGTAATTTTTAATAATTTTAAACTTTTATTGTTGTTAGCATTATAATTTGTTAAACATTTCATAGTATTCTACTACTTGCAGAGATGGTCGTAGACGCATTGATATCGTGCTGGTGTATCAAGAAGAGAACAATGGGGTAATGACTGAAATAGAAGCGCGTCGAAGAGAACAGAGACGTGTTTTTCAACAGAATCTATTAAAAGAGGGTTTGCAGTTGGAACTGGAACCAAAAGAGAACTCATTCGATGGAAAAACTTATTTCTTGAAGTTGCACATTCCATGGAAGATCAAAGTTCAATACGCTGAAGTAATGAACTTAAAATTACCCACAAAAAGATTCATTACTATTTCTGTTAAGGCTTGGGTAGGTCCATGAAACTTTATTTTTTATAATAAACATATTATTTTATATAAATATTATATTATTCATAATAATAATTAAATATTATATTATTATTTTGTTAGCAAGGTAATGAGGATGTGAAAGAAAACTCAAAATTTTGGGAAAAATGGATACAATGGATAAAAAGAATACATACTTGGGACACAAAGAAGTACCCGGAAGAACCTAGCTTTTATGATAGCATTGATTCTGGTGATCGAGAAGAAAGGTAAACATTTTATTACTGGCGTAAGTCAATAATTTTCTTCACTTTTATTCTACTACATTATACTGCGGATAATTATTGACTTTTCCTTGCATGCGAGATAAGATAAATTCAAAATATATGAGGTATATAATATAACGTATATAACAACATATGTATATAATACTATACGTTATATGTTATAAGATAATTACAATAGTTAATATCTTTATTTTTTTTTCTAGATTTGTAGTAAAAGATAGGGATACAGCTTATACACCAGCGCAAAGATCTTTGATAGTGATGCAAATATTATTGAGGACACGGTACGATGAAAATCACGAAAAAGCAGGTATCCGTAGACTTTTGACGGATGGAACGTATCTTGATTGCTTTTCTTTGCATGAGGGCCCTTATAATAAGCCTGGACTCAATGGCGAAATTCTTGATAGATATTTACTATATTTAATATGGGCTAGACCTTCGCAATGGTAATTTCATTGGCCATTTTATTTCTTTTAAAATAAATACATAGTTTTTTGTATATTTAGGTATAAGAAACAACCTCTATGGTTGATCAGACGATATTTCGGTGAAAAGGTAGCTCTTTACTTCGCATGGCTAGGATTTTACACAAAATGTCTGTATGCTCCAGCAATCGTTGGCCTTTTATGTTTCATGTATGGTGTAGGAAGTATGGATGGACCTGATAACATACCTAGCAAAGAAATATGTGATTCTAATATAGCAGGTATTTTTGTTGTATACAATTTTTATATTATTTTGTTTGTTTTCTCGTTTTATTAAATTTCTTTTTGTTCAGGAAATATTACATTATGTCCTCTCTGTGACAAAGCATGTAGTTATCAAAGACTCGGCGAATCCTGCATATTCTCAAAATTAACTTACTTATTCGATAATCCTGCCACTGTCTTCTTTGCCATCTTCATGTCTTTTTGGGGTATGTTTCATATATATATATGTATGTACATATGTATATTTAGTATTTTGATGCGTAACTTTTATCTTCTTATTTTCAATTATTTAGCCACAACATTTCTTGAGTTATGGAAAAGGAGACAAGCTGTAATAGTTTGGGAATGGGATCTCCAGAATGTTGAAAGCGATGAAGAACCTAGACCTGAATTCGAGACCACAGTGAAAACATTTCGAATAAATCCTGTGACCAGGGAAAGAGAACCTTATTTACCAGTATGGTCTAAGGTTTTACGTTCTTGTGCCACAAGTTCTATAGTATTTTTTATGGTAATTAAGAAATTTTATCATTCATTCAATAAATTAGTAATATAAATTAATATTAAATAAATTTGCTCTGTTAACGTATTTGGTAATTTTTCATTCAGATATGCGTAGTTTTGGGTGCTGTTCTGGCAACTATTATCTCTCGAATATCGCTAGTAGCCGTATTTTATGGTGGCGGGGGTTCATTTTTAAAAAGACACGCAAAAATCTTCACCTCCATGACTGCCGCTTTAATTAACTTGATTATCATCATGATTCTTACACGAGTATATCATCGTTTAGCACGGTGGATGGTGAACATGGAGAATCCTAGGACGCAGACCGAGTACGAATCCAGTTTCACATTCAAGATATTTCTCTTCGAGTTCGTCAATTTTTATTCATCTCTTATCTATATAGCATTCTTTAAAGTTGGTAACATGCTATTTGTTGCACCATATGAAGCGAAGCAAATTTATTAAAAAAGGCGGCTTACAGGGTAGATTTTTTGTTCATCCCGGAGACACAACCGCTCGAGCTTCTGAATTTTCTCGTATAAAAACAGACGTTTGCGATCCAGCTGGATGCCTATCAGAAGTTTGTATACAGCTCGCTATTATAATGGTGGGCAAGCAATGCTTTAATAATTTTGTTGAGATATTGTCACCGAAAATGTGGAATTGGTGGCGCAAAAGAAACCATGTTGCCGCTACAAAAGATCACGGCAGACCATATACTTATTGGGAAAAGGATTATCAGTTGCAGGATCCTGGAAGACTTGCATTGTTTGATGAATATTTAGAAATGAGTAAATAAATTTAAATAACTCATTATGAAAGGGAAATTAAATAATATAATTATTAAATATATTTCCAATTTATTACTTTTTTTTTACAGTTTTACAGTATGGATTTGTAACTTTATTCGTCGCCGCATTTCCATTAGCACCATTGTTTGCGTTATTAAATAACATAGCTGAAATACGACTTGATGCATATAAGATGATAAAGGAGGCAAGGAGGCCATTAGCGGAGAGGGTGGAAGATATAGGAGCTTGGTATGGTATACTTCGTGGAGTAACTTACGTTGCTGTAGTATCAAATGTACGTATATACACGTAATAATAAAAGTTCTGGTAATTACATATCAGAGAAGGGGATATTGAAATATATTGTCAAGGTCATCATTCTGAACAACTTTTTCTTTACGTTGCTGCTGCTCGGCCTTAGTTTCTGAGATATATCTACGTAAAAAATTTTCGAAGTAATTTCCAAAAAGTTCGATTTAGCTGAAATTTAGAAAATAGCTTTTTTGCATAAAAACATTTTACTTGCAAGAAGGATTTTTTACGATTCGAAAATCCAAAACTATATATCAAAAAATTTGGAGATAAAAGTAAAGCAATTATTTAGAATAGGTCGATTAGGGATGACACCACTGGTTTTGAGTTAGTGAGGTTAAGACACTAATACAATTTATAAAGTACAATATGTAAGTAATGTTGAATAAGCATTTATGTATATACATCTTTGACTTATATTGACTTTATATCAGCTGTTTTATCTGATAAATCACCTAAGACTAGAAGCTGAAATATTTTCGAAATGATTAATCATATTAAAAAATGTTTCATGACAAAAATTTTACAACGAATTCAAGAAAAAAATAATAATTGATATAATTATTATCTTTTAATGTCGATATATAGAAAGTGTTTGAAAGTTTATTTTCTGAAGTGAAAGTATATTTTTTAATATATTAATCGATTCAGGCATAAAAAAAAGTATTAAACTATTTATACTGAAAAATCATTAGTTTAGGAGATATTTTAATTATAATTCGAAATAATGCTCATAAAATATCTATAAATTTATCTATAATAGCAGCATTAGTTATTACGCGAGATTGCGTAATGTTTATTTATTATTTATTGCGATTAGAATAAAATAAATATTTATTATAATTATATCAATTAATGCTTGGAAACCACTCAACTTTTGTCTAAAACATTTTTAGATATAATTAATCATTAGGAAAATATTTCAACTTCTAGTCTTAAGTGATTCACCTGGTATAATCTAACTAAAACGATTAACTCATTTTAATTATCGATGCTAGTTTGAGTTGAAATTGAATCGAAGGATAAAAGCTATAATATCGTTGTCATTTGCAATTCATAAAAATAAATTATTCTTAATAAATATGTCATCTGAGGAACTCAAGAAAGTATACTGTTTGCTGAAGTGTAGATTCTTGAATATCCTGTTACAAATCTAAAAATCGCTGAAATCGGTGGCTTTTTATTATTTTTTAATCTTCGAACTACTAACGCGATTCAATTGGTATGTAACTTCCTTTTTGTATTACTTTCATATATGATTCTCTGTTTGTATAATCTATATATAATTTATAATTCTAATAATTGTTTCCTGAAAAATATATAACAAGACAGAAATCAATACCTTTTTACATTATTGTTTTTAATACACCATAAATATACTAAAATAATATAAATATACTAAAAGCAAAATTATTTATTTGCGCATAGTAGAATAAATAGACATATAACACAGCATTGCTTGATATACAGTTTTTATATACATATATGATGTTGACAAATATCTTGGATTTATAATTATCTATATATGATATGACTATAATTTTATGTATTTCTCTTCCTCTTTGCAGCTACAATTTCTTTATATGAACCGAAAGTTTTTCCTTGGGTCAAAATAAATTTGTCACATTCTGGGAATTGAAAAGGTATAAAGGTATATTGACGTTGGAGCTATAAATAAAAGTCGTTAAATATATTTGGCGTGTTTATAATGGAGTAACAATAATGTTTTTATATTTATCAGATGGACATCTTGAAATTTCAAATGGCACTGTTTTGCCAAATTCTGAAATTAATGTATCTTATGTATTTATAGAAAATGAAGCTTTCCTTCTTAGAAATTTGTTGTTGTCAATGGACAACAATTAGATACAGACAAAGAATATTTCAATGCCAAAGTATCAAGAACACAAAGAAGCGTTGTATATACTTTTGGAATTTTTTTCTCTAAATGAAGAATTGTAAGCAATGCTATAGAAACTTTTATAAATATAGCGGACGGATATTGTTAAAGCTATCTATGTTTTGCATAACACAATTATAGATAGAGAATATATTGAATATTATTTAATGGACAAGAAATTTCAAAGGAATTAAATATGAGGTTTAATTCTGGTGATTCATTTAAAACTTTATTTATGTCACAATCCTATTGTAAATATCTACTATTTAAAATCTACTATAATTAAAATATATTACACTACACATTAAATATAATTACAGTAAACGAATATTACATGTTGTATTGAATATATTTCTACTTTGGCTACTTTGTCCCATAATCTATCTAACATAAATCCGATATAGTAATTTGTGCACTTTTGATATCATTATCATAAGAGTAATTTGGTAAACATTTCATTCATTAATTTTTTTGTCCACTGTCAATACAGTCAATACATTCAATTATGAGAGCAGTGATAATAGCGAAGAAATAAAAATATAGCTTTTATTGTCACTATGATCGCTACTCCAATATAAACATTTCGATTATTAAACAATGAAATGTACTCGTATTTTGATGTTTCGTCCTCAACGTTTATCGCAGCTCCAGTTAAATCAAAAGGGCAACTTTCGTTTAAATCAAATCATTAATGCCAAGCATAAAAATAGTTTATTTATATGTATATTATACATTAAAATTGAATAGTTATATTTCGGATATATATGAAGTCAATGCCTAATTGTTAAATACTGAAAATTTTTTTTTAAATCATTTATCATCTTACACGACAGTGTAAACGTATCCTAAAACGTATTTTTATATAGTAACACCGATTAATATTCGGACATTAAATATTGAAACTGTTATAATTTTGTAAAAAGAAATTATATAACCATAAACTTGGGCTTGAAGTCTCTACTTTCAAAATATGTTATTCGTTTTATTCTAAAACGTTTTTATATTTTATATTTTAATTTTATATAAAAACGTTTTATATTACGTAAGGAATGTTATGAGTAAGGATCGAAAATGTTATAAATTGTGTAATAGTATAGAAATATTAAAAAATTTTTTTCATAACTGAATCTACTATGGATTTAAAGATTAAAGCTTTCCCTTTACAACAATCTTCGTAAACTTGACGTATCATTTTTTTTTTTTTTCATTTTATTGAATTTTGAATATTAGATTTAAATGATGGAAATTCAAGAAATTGTAACATTTTCGTTATATTCGTTTTCACCTGACATTCAAAGTTGAATAAATTAGCAAAAAAAAAATTGTACAGCAAGTTTCGAGGAATCGTTAAGAAAAGACTTCAATTTTCAAATCCATTTCTCAAATCCATTCACTCAGGAAAAAAATTTTTTTTATATACGAATACAAATTGTTTTTATGTACTATGACAATTTGCAACATTTTCGAGGAGAAAGATGTCTTCACTTATCCACTCGTTTTTTACGTAATATAAAAAATTTTAGAATAAAATGAACGATTGAAAATATTCTCGTAAATAAATAATTTTTTTTTACAAAATTATAACAGTTTGAATATTTAATATCCGAATATTAATGGGAGTCATTATATATCTCGGAAACTAAGGTTTAATAGTTGTAACATAATAGGAAAAAATTGTTCAGAACTTTGACAACATTATTCAAAGTCATCAAAATTGGCGAGGATCATTTTTTCTAAATAATTACCAGACTTCTTAATCTAAAATTGCATTTGTATTACAAATAATAAATGTCTAACAATAATCTTGTTTTATAATTCACAGGCATTTGTTATCGCGTACACGTCAGATTTTATTCCGCGTAGTGTTTATGCTATCGTTTACTCTCCCACAGAGGATTTAGTGGGTTATATCGATAGTTCTCTATCAGAATTCAATACATCAGATTATCGAGAAGACATGAAGAGTGATATGGATAAAAATCATCCGGAAACTTGTCAATACAGAGGCTACAGAAATGGACCGGATCACTCAAACGATCCATACGGACTCAGTCCGCAATATTGGCATGTTTTCGCAGCCCGTTTAGCTTTTGTCGTCGTCTTTGAGCATATCGTACGCTCCACTTCGCTTTATTGTCTATATGACAAGTTAAAAATCATAGTGACGAATAAATCTTAATTCAAATCGAGTACTTTAATTTTTAAAAATATCAGTCTTTCAATTTTATAATTGAGCTATAATTTTATTTTCTATCACAATACAGTTTCACGCAAGACACTATTTTATGAAAAGTAGTAAGACTGACTTATATCACTGTGATTCTTAACTTCCATATATTTTACCTATAAAATTAATTTTTTTAAAAGACTGTCAATAAAATGAAACATTTGGAATTCCAATTAGGTTTTCGCCTTAACTGGCATTATGAGCTACGTGATACCAGCTGTACCTCGTTCTTTGGCGACTCAATTGCAACGGGAACGTTTATTGGCTCAAGAGGCCAAGTACGAGAAAGGTATAAAAAGTAGAGAAGACGAGGATGATATTCTGTCAATGCTTAGAGAAGCAGGTAGTATTGGAGGAAGAGCTGCAGGAGGTGCCAGAGGGAGCTGGGCAAGACGCTTTAGTAAACTGAGCGATGGCTTAGATGCCCACGTTGATGTAGCTTCCAGACACAATAGAAACAGTGATGGTTCGACTGTGTGGGAAGTAACATGATTTCGAAGGGTGCTGTGAGGAAGTAATACGATTTCATGAGCCGTTCAAAGACCAACTCCACTTTTTGAATTTTTAAAATAACAAAGTGATACTTAACTTTGTATGTATTTGAATATATTTGAAAATCTTTCTTTAATAATTAGGTTTTATTTAATTAAATAAAATTTTTTTTGACCGTGGAACAATAATTTATTTCAGAAGCCAATGTGATTATTCCAAAGATATAGCATTTCATGCCGTTAGATGGAAGCTACGTTTGTATTCTCAATAACATCCTACAATGTTTTGAGATTACATTTTAAAAGAAATTTTAAAAATAGTATACAGTATTTTGCCCATTTCTCAATTTTTTGTTTTGTGGAGTTAATCGATTTGGCAAATGAACGGTTCAAGAGATATTATTATTATTTAACAAAATTTTTTAAATATTTATCTCGCTCATTTGTATAAGGATTATTTAGTTCTATCATTATGTAAATTGTACTTAAATGAAATAACTACGTATGTAAGTAAATATCGGATATTAGACACGAAGAAATGAGCCGATATTTGTGATATTTCAGAAAATTGTGTAAAAAATGCAAACAAAAGAAACAAGAAACAATCAAACCTATATGTGATGATGTATGAATGCCAAAAATATATCAATACTTTCTAAAGATCCGTCAAAAATTGATTCAACGAATTTTCAAAGTTCGGTCATGAAATTAATGACATATGTATAATTTGTTATATAAACGCTATCAGTATTAACACACACAGAATTACCTCCTGGTACTTAAATCAGATACTCATTTTCTAAAATTATATTCCAAAATAGTTTTAAGTAGTATTCACCAGTTGCCAGTGATAAAACAAATTTATAAATATACATATAATTTTTAAAACAAATTTATTAACATACAATTTATTAACATATATGAAAGAAAAAAAGAAATATGATGACTGAATTCGTAAAGACGCTTTTATAGTAATTATAGTAAGAACGTTATTGTTTAACTTTAATTTTTATTCTAAAAATATAAAAAAGGATAAAAGATTCTCTCAAGAATTTACACGATATATTCTTTATTATATATAGTTTCAACATCTCATTCTCCGTTTTACGCTTGACATTACTACAATAATTACTATAGAATACATTTATAATAATATACATGTACATATTTATTTCTTTTTTTTTTTTGCTATTGATTCTCGATTTATATGTATAATTCTATATGCATATTGGCCTATGATTCATTCCATACTGCACTTTCTTGCGTCTTCTGCTTCCTTTTTAAAATCTAAAAGTGTATCACAGTTGTGTTGAGGGATAATAAGAATCTTTCTCTACTTTTTTTTCTTGTCTTAAAGAAACAACCGTTGTTTTCGGACAACCGAAATCGATACATAGTCCATTCAGTCAGATCTCCTCGGATCTGATGGACGCATTAAATCAAAATTCGTTAGCCATAATTCCGGTAAACGGCTGCGATGAAATGTATTCTACATTCCTAACAATCTGTAAAAGCGATATTTATCTTATTTGTAAAATCATTTCGAAAAATATACCATGTGTTATAGGCATTTCAAATAGCAAATCATAAATATATAATTCACCGTTTCGTGTGCAATTTTAAAAAAGGGAGAAAATCTCCATATGTTTCCTTATTCATAATGATTGAAATCATTTATAGCATATATTCTTGTAATATTGTTTTTGTGCTAAAATTACATTGATATTTTTGTTTTTTAGGGACTCCCGTAGCAAAGAGTGTTTGTTACATTTTTATGCTTTTTACAGCATAGTTTTTTTTTTTTAAATACAATGTATATATGTGTGTGCATACATGTTATTCACAAAATTGATTGTTAGATAAAAATATTTTTTTTTTAATAAACTTTCTGCAGCTACGTTATTGCAGAAATAATTTTGGTTTTCGTATGCTTATTTTTATTTATTTGTATATTAGAAGTAACATGCATTATACAGTGTGTTTCGCAATTTGTGGGACCCACTTCGAGCTGATTGTATGCCTAAAAATAATGAAAAAAAAGTCATATAGATATATGTCATGTCTGTCTTCGTTTATGAGATATAATGAATTTTCTGTTTTACAAAAGATGTTCAAAATGTTCACCTTGCATTTGAAGACAAGCCTGCACGCGTCTTGTCATTGATCTGGTTACTCTCTCTCTATTATTCCTGGTGCTTCTCAAATTTGTCGGAAGACTTGTTCAATTCTATTTCGTAGTATTTCAGCATTTTCAATCGATGTTGCGTATACAATAGATTTTAAATCTTCCCACAAATGAAAATCTAATGGATTCAAATCCGGAGAACGAGCAGGCCATGCAATAGGATCTTCACGACCAATTCATTTATTTGCAAAGTGTTGATTTAAAAATTGCCTAGCCACCGGCTATAATTGCCGGCTAAAATGCAGCGGAGCTCCATTATGCATAAACCGCATACGAAGGTTAATCGACTGGAATTTCCTCTAATATTTCGTGTAAACGCGTGCTCAAAAAATCGACGTACTTTGTATATACATGCCTGTTAGTTTTCCATCAAGAAAAAAAGGTCCAATTAAAAATTGATTAATTATTCCTGCCCATACGTTTAAACTAAACTGGTGTTGATGCCTTGAATGCACAATAACATGTGAGTTTTCTTCATTCCAATTATGATTATTATGAAAATTGAATATACCATCCCTGGTAAAACTAGCTTATTATAATTTTATAACAGAGTTTGCTCTGTTTATAAAATTCATTATATCTCATAAACAAAGACAGATAGGACATACATTTATATGACTTTTTTTCATTATTTTTAGGCGTACAATCAGCTTCCGAAGTGGGTTCCACAAGTTACGAAACACCTGTATATGATACGAGACCCAGATATGTAAAATTATCAAAGAAACTCTGTTCTGTTTATTTAGAAAAATATTCTGTTCAAGATTCAAATAACAATGATTATTTAATTAGATGAGCTGTACAAAATTTTTTTGAGGTATTTCTCAAAGATAGATAGTTTCAACTGAGTTCATTCAATAGTACAGGATATAAAGCCTTATATTTACTAATTACATATTCGCTTGGTAAAAAAAACTCTAAAAATATACTATATATGATAGAACATTCTATATCCTCTCGAAAAATAAATTTTAAATAAAATAGTGTCACACATGTTAAAAAGACAAATGGTAAAAAGGAATGTAACAGCATCTCATCACGTATGGGTCGTATCGCAAATAAAGTATTCATTGTATCACTCTATTTGGCATTAATGTATTTATCAATTACGCTTCAAATGTCTCACTAAAAAATCCTGGTAAATACATTAATACGGAGTTTTAGATAAATCTTGTGTTCCTATGAAGTTTTCTATAAAAATGCTATGTAAACAGCATCTTACATTGTCAAACATACCGGCAGAACATCCGACTTGACTAATCCTTCTGAGTGGACTAAATCTCGATTTCCAAAAGATGCGTTTTAATTTAGGTGAGGTAGGAAGATATAACACTTAACTAGATCCAGGAGGAGCATTGAAATTAAACATGGTGGTTGGTGGACGCAACGGTTTTGGTGGTAATCTTGGTATTACCGACCCTAAAATCCATGTAAATGAAACCATTGTAAATGAAAAATAACAATATATAATTATGTTATATATCAAAAATATTTTTTGATATTGATCTTTACCATTAGGTTGCATAGGCGGAACTTTTGTAAGACTAGGCCCATTGAAAGACATGTGTCTTCGTGTATGAACAGCATTTGATGAACATGTATTCTCCAACGTTGAATTCCGCCTGGCGAGTAGCGTCGAACAACTTGGATTCAATGTCGTAGGTAGCCGAGGCGGTAACGTCACCGGAGGCAAATCTCTTCGTGGCGGTAATGGCGGTGGAGAAGTACCATCTCGTGGAGGAAGTGTAGGTGCATTTAGAGCTTGTCTTGCCTATGTATCCAATAATAAATAATATAATTAGATATTATATATATTATTTCATGATAGATGAAATTTACAGAGATAAAATAATTGAAACATTTTTGAACAATTTACTTGTTGCAGTGATTCGTTTATGGAACTCTCTCGTTTCCTATGAGATCTTGGTGGCAAAGGGGGTGGAGGTTGACTGGGTGGTACATGGCCAGGAGACGGAGGAGGTGGCATCACAGCACCAGGACTTCCACCTGACGATGGTATACCGGTCAAAGCCCCCATTACACCAATTGTAGCGGAATTAAAACCAAAGAGACTATTTTGCGGTTGATGATGCGGAACAGATAAATGACCGGGCGATCCTAATTGCGGACTGCTACCCGGCGAACTGATTGAAAGTCCTGACATGTTAAAAGGACCTGGTGAACCCGACTGAGCTGTACCTATATTAACAATAAAGTACATCTACTATCTATCTAAGCATACTATGCAACAAAATAAAAATGATTCTTGTTTCTTTCAAATAAGAATTGCAGTGAAAAAGCGGCTGTTAAGTGCATGCTACAATCCAATATTATACATAAGATACAAACCTCCTAATAAAACAGGTGCAAAAATACTATGATCCACTACGTGAGAAATTGTAACGTGTGAAGTGTGCGGAGGGGTTTCTGGTAATTCTGGCGGCGGTGCTTCCGATGGAGGATCATGTAATCTTACACTGGAAGCTACAGCTTGCAATGGAGCTGGTAATTTGCCACTCAAGCTTCTAGCTTTAATGCCTGGCGATTTTAAGTTTAAATCTGGCCATTTACGGGGCTACAAGGGTAATAATAATTGATGAAAATGATGTTATTACATGTATGTTTTATAATAATTTCTATAAAACTTACGACTCTAGGTGGCTGTCTACAACCTCTGGGTTCTATTTCCAGACTTTTATTGTACAAATAATTACTTATATCAACTTCTTTCATATTAGGATCGAAAGGTGATAAATTTTCAATGAAATGTCTTATTCTAGGCTCCACTGAAAGACAGTAAGGTTGGTTTTGATACTGCTGAATTTCTCCGGTTATCTCTGCTACTTTTCGTCGTTTGCTAAAGTTAATAAGTTCCGGACTTCCTCGTAGATAATCTGGATTTCCTTCTTCAATATGTAGAATATTAGTCAGGTACATGCCTATATAAAAAGATCAATAATGAAAATTATTTAATATTTTGAGTTAATAATATTTTATTCCTTATTATTTACCAAAAAATGGTACGCAAGGTGGATTAATGGATCGCAATTTTTCTTGATATTTTCGGAAATGACCATTGTTTAGTTCCCGTGCTTCTTCCAGGGCCTTTTCTAGTCGTGCTGGTATTTGCTATAAATATATTAAAATTTATTATTTACTTCATTTAAATAATTCAATAGTGTTAGATAATAAAATAACATACTTGAAAAGTAAATTTTAACCTAAAAACAGAAGCAGATCCCATTGCGCTAACAATTGCTAATACACCATTAAAGTTATTAAGATCTTGGAGCACCATCATAATTTCAATTGTTCGTGATACAATTGCAACTCTCTCCTCTAAATTTTCAGCTTCTACTATAGTTTTTTCAAGCCACCGTGTAAACTACAGAATGAAAAAATTATTTAATTTATCAAATTAAAAATATGTATAATAACTTACGTTTGTTGTATGCTTTATCATTTTCAATAAATTTGGTGATGTCTTTTCTTTATCTTTTTTGGTCCATACTGACCCAACTAATTCCGAAGGCTTTACAGTTCTATACAATTCAAATTCTAATAAAGTTAATTGTCTTGCTAATTCAATTGGATGTAACTGTAATCATTGGAAAATAATTTAATTATCTATATAATATAAATATTTATATACAGTATTTATATTTACAATATATTACCGTTAATATTCCCCATTCTTCTTCAGGAACTTTTAAGTGCCACTCAATAGGTGGTGGAGATCGTTCAAAACTAAATGTAATAGGTCGTTGTTCCGAAGGTTCGCATTTTCTTTGTATAATTTTTATTACTGAATCTACCCATTTTCTCATTGATTTTCCACTTACTGTGTCTAAAAACGATTGCAATCCTTCCAAAAGATTTCTATCACGTTCGAAATCATAAAAATGATGATCGACCTAAAATTGAAAACATTTAAGAGCATATTTTAATAATTTAACAAAGATAATATAATAATTTAGTGTAAATATATTCAAATGATACTAACCCAATGTCTTAAAACATTTAAAACTCTAAATTGAACAGGTTGACAAAATTCTTTTCTATATCTTTTCCAATCCTCTCTAGCAGTTGTTTTGCAACCAGAAGATTTTTCTTCCTCACCATAAACTAATGAAGGATCTGGTATGTCGAATCTTTCGATTAACAAAGTCAACAGTTCCTGAGGTGAGCAAAAACTCCTATGAAAGAACACAATTTATTAAATTAACACAATTTATAAAATTAGTTTCTATAAGTATACATATACATATAGAGTATCCCAGCATCGGATAATTCTATGTGGAAAAAAATAAAGAAAATAAAAAATAAAATTTTTTATTTAAAGCGTCGTTTTTGAGAAAATTAAGCTTGAAAATGTCAGGTACTTGAATTTGTAAACTGAACAAGAATGACTAATTAGATTATATCTACTAGATAGTAAATTATTCTATTTGCAAAAAATAAATAAAAAATGAAAAATAAAAATTTTTTCTTTTTCATTTCAAAAAAAAGTTTGAATGTGTATTTCCTTTTTCATTTCAAAAAAAAGTTTGAATATGTATTGAATATGTATTTGATAAATTTTCAAATTGAATTTTATTGAAACATCTTACGAAAAAATTATATTCTAGACTTTTGACTTATTTTCATACATAGAATAACTTTCTCAATATTATTTATTCTTGATTAATCTACAATTAACTAAATTTATTGTTGATAAAATTTCCAAACTTGATTATTTTGAAAATAAAGCTTTAAATAAAAAAATTGTATCCATTATCTGATGTATTTTTCACGTAGAATTATACCTTTCTCAATTTCATGTTCGATGCTGTATATATATATAAATTTCAAGCATATGAATTAATATACCTATAAGTAGTAAGGAATGTTCGTACAAAAGCTGGATCAGCATATATATGATAAGTTAATCTTTCTACCAATTTAACCAAAGTTGCTCCCTTAATTAATGGAACACCTCCATTTTCTCTTGCTTCCAAAACGATATTTTCTGAGCTATCCTGTTCAGCAAATTTATATAAATGTGGTGGAGGTAACTTTAAAGGGTGTTTCTTTTCCTCATCTAAAAGGATACTGTCCAAAGTTCTCTCTAACATACTCTTTGTATTCAACATTACAAGATCCGCCATCCAACTATTTTTATCTTCGACGGATTTTGCAACAAGGATAACGTTAGGATGGTCCCTTGGTGCAATTTCAAAGGCATTTTTTAATTCTAGAAAAATAATACATAATAATATACAATATTAAAATTATTACGTAATTATATAATATTTAATAATTTTAATAATAAATTAATTATATAACATTTAATACCAAGATTTTTTGAAACTTACCCTCAGTATCCTCTCTGTCAATAATATCAACTTTTCTAATGAAAAACCTTTCTTTTAAACGCAGTTCGCCTTGATGAGGTGGATGACCTACCACACCAACTGCTGCAGCAGTAACGCTAACTCTTTTGCCACCACTTGGTTTACAAAGTACTAATAAACCATCGAAAAGAAGAGCTCTTCGTTCCGTTAACCTCTTTCCATTACTTACTTTCCACAACATATCCTCTGTATATAGAAGATAATGAAAACATACTTCTATATATCTTATATGGAAAAATAATTAAATAACACTATATATTTTTTTCATACCACGTATAAACTCATTACAACATTGTCCAACATCTCTTTGATCCCAACCATCAACAGTTTTTTGTAATTCACTAGTTTTTTCTAGCGCCGCTTGCCTCCTTGCTCTACTCTGCATTCGCAGACCTGTATCTTTTTTTGGAAGACTTGCCATAGATTGTAATAATTCCATCTGTAATGGACTTAAAAGACCTTGTACTTGTTCCAATGTTTCACCATCTTCTATATTTGGTGTACGTTTTTGCAATACCTAAGTAAAATATTATTCAGTTATTAAAATAACATGTGTAACAATATGAAAATACAAAATTATATAAAATATACCTTTATGTAATGAAAGTACAAAAAACAATGCCATATTGGTTGTAATAAAAGTTTTGGCAAATAATATTTGACAGCTTCTTTAAAACCATGTCCTGCTGCTCTTAATGCATTATTAGCTTCAGGTCTTGATAATAAATTTGTTAAAACTTCTCGACTAGCTGGACTATTAATATCTTTTGCATACCTAATATTAAGATTTTCAATAATTGAAAAAAAAGAAGAAATTTCAAAGAATAGAATATGAAATATGAAATACTCTAGTCTTCAAAAAGAATATTTCATATTATATATATAATATATATATTATATAAATATATATAATAATATAAATCATTACTTTATATAGACATCAAATTCTGCTGCTTCTGCCAATTCTTCAAAACATGAGCCAACAGTGGGTGTTTGTTTCTCTTCAGTAATTTCCATTATATCTTCTAAACTACCAAGTAACGTTACAGTGACTTCATAAATATCCATAATATTACTGAAAAGTGTTTCAATTTCAGTTCTATCTTGTGCTAGCTTTGCGATTTCTTCCCGAAATACCTATTTACGAAAACAATATTTTTCATGGATTAACAATAAACAATTTCGCTTAATACGATTAATAAACTATTTTACCTTAATGATCATATGGAGATCACGTAAATAATAACGTTCATCGTGTATAAGATCTCGAACAGATTCTTCATAAGTTTGAGAAACTACTGCACCTAAACCACTTTGTGGACTTTCTACATAATCATCTTGATAAAATAAATCCATTAATACCTATCAATAAATTCTAAAATTATTTGTCATTTATCACATGATTATTAACATATTTAATATAGAAATTAGGGATGAATTCAAAACTAATTTTGAAATCCTCGAAATTCAAATCCGAAACTTTATAAGATTTTAAAATTCTAGAAACTAGAAGTGCTGATTTTATTTTGTAACAGAAATTTTTAGTTTTAAGAACTGGAATTAATATTTTTGTATAAATTTTTATTGATCACAGTTAAACAAAATATAAACGAAAATATAACAACTTACATAATCTAATTCTGATTCTTGTTTAAGGACATTAATATCCGAATTCTTTCTGGATCTAATCTACTTTTTTTATCGACTGTACTGTCAGATATACTGAAAAGTCTTTCAGAATAATAAGATATTTTTTTGATAGATTCATTAGCTTTAGATATTTTACATTACTGTTTCAGAATTACGATCGATCGCACATCTACCTCTATCTTTAAAAACAAAAAACATTTCACATCAAACATTTGAGATATGAGAATGAATCAAATATTTTTTATTCACGGTGCAAATAATATCTTATTCATTGATTTTATACTTTTTTTTATCCGAGTTTCAAAAGTTTTGAACACACAAAAAACGTACAAAATTTCGAATTCTCGAAACTTAAAATTTTCTTAGGTTTCGAGAAATTTCAAGATTTCGATATATTCGGTAATCCATCCTTAATAGAAATATAACACAAATATTATGCTTTATAAAAATAATATTACCATATCTGCACACATTGCAACTCTTATATCTTCACAAGATATCTCTACATGACGTATATTCTTGACATAGTTTCCAGCTAGCTGAAAAGAAAATAGTCTTTAACATTCTTAGAAATTAGAAGTTAGTATTAATAAAAAGATTAACAAGTGATTATAGTATAGTATAGTATAATAAAAAGTTTAACAAAACAAAAAATTTATAAAAACAATTGATAATAATTTTTACCAACCTTCAAAATATCTGCAGAAATATATTCCAACACTCCTACTACAAAAAGACTAACTTGTAAATCAATTTTTTGTTGTAATACTTCCTGTCAATACACAAATACAAAATTATGATATCTCTAAATAAACATAAAAATAGTAACTAAACATAAAAATACAATTTTCTAATTACTTTTTGTAATAGTTGATGAATTTTGTCAACTGGAAGAACTAGTGGGGATTTCTTTTTTCCTTTTTCCAAGGCATCTCTCGCATCTCTGAGTGCCCATCTATCAATGGGAGTGGGAAATGTACGCCTTACTCTCTCTTCTACATCTTGAGGTGTGTGTGGTGGAGGATGACCACAAAGCATTCCCAACAGCCTTAAGATTAAACTCTCAACATAGTCTAATGCATCTTGTCTTGCTTCAAGACTAGGATGTACTTGTTCTAATACCTATATTAATCAGCCATTAAATTATGAAAAACAGTATATTATATTAAAAATGTTGTTTTTTGTTTCAATATTGTAGAATGTATTGATATATAGGATTGGATGATTGATGATAGAATATATAGGGTTTAAAATTATTAACAAATAAACAAATAATTTATTTGACTGTTGTCTTTTGGAAAGAACATAATTTTATTACCTCCAATTCTATTCCATTAAGTGTTTGATAAATTATATTTCTATTTAAAAAGAAGATGCAATACTTCATGAAGTACACAGTTCAAAAAACATAATTAATAATTAATTATCTAAGAAAAGAATCTTTTCTTTTGAATAAATAAATTAAATTTTCCATTAGACTCAATATTTGTATCTTTTTTTTACATTTGTGATACTGTTTGTAGTTTATACTTTTATCATACATCATGTTTATTTTATTTTATACATTGTGGAAAAATTTTTTGGCAAAATTCTTCCATAAACTTTAATATATTTTAATGTATGGAATAATGAATAATAATAACACTCATTAAAATTAAATCTCCCATTTACATGGTTTAATTTTAGGTAGTAAGAACAAACAATGTATCCTGTCACTCTATAAATTATTCAATATATGAAAAAAAGTTTCCTTTATTCTAGATGCAAATATAAACAATTCTCAAATAAAGTTACCAATCATCATAGGAGCAACACAACAATGGTTAATTTTTAAAATATTTATTTCACATTAATTATGACATGTTATTATTATTATGTTGGAAGATAACAAACCTAATGTATTAGCTGGAAAATATACATGATAGTGACACATGAATGACAGTAGAATCAACTTGATGAGCATCAAAAGCTCACAAATTCAAATCAATTTACAAAGAATTATTAGTTTCATAGTAAATGATTCAAGTGGAATACCTTGCGCAAGGAATTGACAAACACTCCCTTCCATTTGGCAGCGTTCTCCTCTTTTTGAAAGTCATAGCCTGACGGCTCGCGCACTACTGATGCCGGTGACGAAAACATCTCTACGTACTGGTATAAGGCTATCGCGCACAACAGAATAACACACTAAAATCGGATTAGGACAGCCAGAGTTGATACGTGAATTTTATCCCCTCTTTAAGTCGGTGGCTGTTCTAGCGGTGAAAATTTGTTCTCACCTTCTTTCTTTCAAAACAGAACTCATTTACAGGCTTCCTTCATACTTTTATCATACGATTCTTTTTATATTCTCATCGTATATTAATAAAAACAGATGGTAGAGAATAATTTTCGTTATTGGTCAGGAGTGTTGGTTACGTTTACAAAATCTGGATCCTACAGTGGATCACGGATATTCATACAGTCGTGGAAACATTTTATGTATATGTCACACGTGTTATACTTCCACATTTTGAAATTTTAATAGCACTGTAACGAAACACGATTGGTGATTATATTATGTTTCGAATAAATGTAAAAATATATATTGATACTACATCAATGTATATTAAATGTATAGAGATTAAGATACAATAGCTCACAAAAATATTCAAACGCTTGTAAGGAAATTCTCATGAAACATACTATATATATTCTGCTTTCACATTTGGAAATTTCATTAATACTGTGATAATCGAACACGATTATATTACAATGAGACATGATTCTAATAAAATTTGAAACAAATCTGTATATGAAATACTGTATATAAAATTGCAAGATATTCACTGATGAAATATAATATTTTGTTGGTATTGTACAAGTATTTAAATAATAAAATTATATTTAGTACGAGTATTTTTAAAATTTATTTTATATTTAAGATTGATTTTACACTGTATACTATTTTTTTATTAGACATATGTTTGTAGCAAGTGTTTTATAACTTATACATATATTTTAAGGTTGGTTTCATATTATTGGACGTAATAATGACAATCGTGTTTCATTACAGTAACTAATGAAATTTCAAAATACACGTCATGTAAAAAGATATTATATACATAAATACGTCTTTTATAGTGAGTGTTGAAATACTTTGACGAGCCATTGTATACCGTGTAAGCATCAAGAACGTATCGAAAACAGTGATCGAGAGCAAATCCCTATCACTCATGTAGTTCTGTCTATCGTGATTATACCTAGAGAACACACTCCGGAGAGTTGCCGAATTTTCCAAACAGCATTTCGTATCAGGAATCAGAACACAGGGAAAGTCGACAGAGATGTCTGTCTGTCCGTCAGTCCGTTTCTCAGGGCGCAGACATCTCTGTTCCGTAAATACGACAGCTAAGCCACTCGGTAATATTCCTCCAGGATCCATGCATTTCTTTCACTTATCATAAGAAGCATCTTCCAGGCTAACACAAGTGTTCCCGAGTTAACCCGTTTCTGCATTTTATACACTGTTTTCAACGTGAATTTTTGTCAGAACTTAACGCGAGCACCATTACTATCTAGGGATACCATTGCGTGACTCGCATCGATCGATAACTACGATTGTTATGTCCGCTACGAGATTTCCAAGTTCGATGTATCGAGCTCCGTTGGCTTTATCTCGAAACATTTTTTGAAACTTATTAAACCATTAAGACATTATAACAGTATATCTTCAAAAAATATTGCATTATATGATAACAACAATAGAGAAGAAATAAACGTTACCAAATGTTTATAAAAAAAAATTGCTCGGTAAAAATTTTGGCCAGAATGCAAGTTTTAAATGAATGTAAAAAACGGAATAGATAAACGATCAACATAATATAATCTTACAAATATTTACATATATAGTTTTTGTGTTTTATAATACTAATGCAATAAAGCATTCCGATAAAGCATTGGTTATAGCATAGATGCGATATTATATGACATTTTATGTCACATATCCTGAAATACAGATCTGTGTTTCTTACGCCCTCTATAATTTGCTGCGACAGATACAGAAATTATATTCAACCATTGACTGAAACATAGACGAGGTATATCTCGTAGTATTAATTAATGGTGATCCAAAATCTGCCTAAATTGGCAGATGTGGCACAAAAATTATAGGGGGATCCTAGGATACCGAAAACGTGGGATAAAAAAATACATTGTATGTTAAGTCCTAATAATCAATGATACAATCGTTTATTTGTGAAACATCTATTATTGACTTTGACACTTTAGGATTTACATTCGTTTGCCTAACTAAATATTTTTCGTCAATTTTACCTAAAAATTCTTCTCTCTTTTGCGTGTACCGATGCTTGGATAGTTATTTATAATTTTCTGCATAATAGAATGACACCTATCTATTATTTTTCTAATTTTTTTAAAAGAATTTATTCTCCTATTACACAACTTTATTACTAATTTCCTGATAGAAATATGAATATCTGTTTTTTTCAGTCATGTATATTTTTGTTAATAAACAGTAAAATCATATTCAAAACATAGTTTTTAATCAATTCTCTCCTGTTCAATCTTCTAATGATAAAATATTGCATTTCTGTATTTTTGTTCATAAAATATATTTTTAAATTATTAATTATTAATTTAAAAAACTATTCAATTTTTTGATAGAACTTTTATCATATAATGTAAAAACTAAATATGTGACAAAATTGTCTATTTTTTGTCGATCTTCTATAAACAATTTAATTCACTTTCATTTACATTCTGAAAAGCAAATTTTTATTTTAGAGTTTAGATTTGATTTAAAAATTGATTGTATAATATAGTAAATATCTTATTAAATAATGCAATAATTTTACATTTTTTGACAATTTGGAACAACAAAAATGATTTGTTTTCCTATGGATAAAGCAATACTTGTTTAATTTATTAATTGAATAAATAAAACATTTAAAACTAAACTATACGTTTAATTTTATAAGTAACTGTCTGTGTGTGTATAGACATGCAAGGCAAGAGAAGATACGAACGATGTTCATGTTGTTTTTGTCTTTGATACAATAGATTTTACAAAACTTTTCATATAAAGAAAACTAATTACTCTAGACTCTAGATTACAACTTCCTTGAAACTATTCAATCTTTATTTAAACCATTTCTCATATAATTTAGATTAGTTTACTAATAATTTGCATTTTTAGATTAAAATTAAATATTGTGTATATCAAATAATATAAACTAATTAATTATAATTACAACTATGTTATAATTACAATAGGTGATTTTATTGTCAGTAAAATTATTAATTCCGAAATAATTTATAAGAAACTAAATATTATAACGATAAAACTGACTTTTTTAAATGTTTTAATATTTATTTTTTGAATACATATACTAGAAATTAATACAAAAATTGTTATCTGATTAAATTGGTTTTAAATTTGAATTTTATTATAAATTAATAATTATGATAATAGTCAAAAAATGATAGAACATATAATGATATACGTATAATAAATATAAATAATTACTGTTACCTATTGTTATTATTTTGTACAAATGAAATTTTTGCAGAAAAATTTCAACATTAATATTTTATATTAATAAATTAAAATACATTCTTATTTATTAATTACTTTAGATTGAATATCTTTATATTTCTCTATAAACTCTTCAATGATTTTATTAAGTTTACGATTTTGCCAATCAAGGGAAATATCATCGAGATGATTATCAAAATCAACAAGATTCCTGTATTTTTCTGCTTTTAGTAAAGCATATAATACAAATGTATGAGTTGCTCCTTTATCATATAATATACTGCAAAAATCAAAACAGTACATCAATATAAACAATAAAGATATTAAAATTTATTGAAAATATGTATTAAATATATCAAATTAGTTACTCTGATATATCTTTAAGTTTCCATTTGCCATCTACAAATTGTGAAACTCTTAAGGGAATTGAGCTCATACTGAGTGTAATTTCCTTATTGTCCACCTAATAATATAAAAAGAAATTTCTAATAAATTTCTAGTTTAGCGGTTTTTCCCAATTTTGATTACTTTGCTACAAATTTTTTTTTTAGAAGCTTTAGTCCGTTTTTAAAATGAGAAATCAATCGGGACAAGTCGAAAAAGTTCTTGTACTTTTTTAAACAAGACGTTATATTAAAAACTTTCTTTTCTCATGTCACAAAGATAACAAATATTTTAAATATTTTATATTCATGATAATTAGATGAAATGGAATCAACAACATGATTCATAAATCATATAAATTATTTTTATTATTTGTTTATTATGTTTGTTTATTATGTATCAATGTATTGGTCACACATTAAACAGCTATGCTTATGCTTTATATGTATCAATGTATCGGTCATACATTAAACAGTTATGCTTATTGTGAATATTAATTTATGTCTATAACTTTTTATTAAAGTAGCGAAATAGTCAAAATTGAAAAATGTCGGTAAATTGGAAATTTATCAAAGGAAGATAATAAGATAATGTTTAATGAATTTAATTGTCTAAAATACTTACCACTACAAGTAAGCTATTGCCACAATTCTCTGCTATTTTATCCGCTATTTTGTGAGCAGGTTTATCTGTACTATATTGAAATTTTTGTAGTTAAGTTATTATAAGAAAAGCAAATAAAGATTAAATTACCTCAAGTCATTTATATTTTCGTTTGCTAGGTAATAACCTGCTAACACCAAACCTTTACTAATGGCAAATTGATCAACCTAAAAATTATTTACTATTTATATGATAAACAAATTCAAACAATTAAATAATTACAATTTCAAATAACTAAACATAGTTATAATATAGATTAAAATATATGTATATAAACATATATATGTTAATACTTTTGAAATGTTAAATATATATGACAATTTTAGTATTTTTAATTTACAAGTAGAATTTATTAAATATACTGTATTTATATAACTCATTAACATACCACATCTGGATTATATGCGGTATTTAAATATTTACCATCGTCAAAGCAATTTCCGCCATAGGTGAAACATGAAGACAAATATGAAATAGTGGAACTACATCCTCGATACGTAATTGGGCAGATTTATTGTCACGTTTATTATTCTGTTTAGCTAATAACAATCCATTTATCGCGCAATGAGGATATTTAGCAGCATGTAAAATGATTTTACAGTACGCACGACTGGAGAACGAGATATCCGCCATTTTTTTCAGCAATAAAATCGATAATGAATTCGATATGAAACCCAATTTACTATTGGATCGTAGGGATCTCGAGAGAATCTCGAATGTAGAAAAATGAATTAGAACGGAAATTTTAAAACTGGAAATGAATTTTTGCGAGTGATTATTCTTTTTATATTTCAGATAACGAACATCTCGATCAAATTATTTACATTTATTAAAAAGATAAATTGTCTTTAATTTTCTACATATTTTGTCAGAGTAGGATTTCGTAGGAACCAACCTATACATAAATAATTCCCTAGTGTTAGTAAGTTTACGCTTTAAATTTATTCAATTAACAATAAATAGAGGAAAATACTTTTCAAAGTTGTATCGTGCATTTCCCTTTGTTTATTTTTTAAATCGATGTACAATGGAAAATATTGAAAAAATTATCGATCTTTTGCATAAAAGGAAAGTTATACGTAATGAACAATTCGTAAACGAAGAAAAAAAGCAAATTACAGAATACAATAATTTAATGTATATATTACAAACTATAAAAGGTTCTTATTTCTACGTTAAATAAAAAAGCTATTTTTAATAACTTTAGAATTAAGATTTAATATCAAAATTTTCGTTACAGATGAACGTAATAATTGTAAAGAGAATATTATTAAAAATCTTCAGTGTTTAACGAAACACAAACATTCAGTTAACCAACTCGTTCATAATTCAGAAAATATTCCAAGATTACCAATTTCTCAAGATTATCATCGGTATTATTATCTTTTTCTTAAATTACTTATTAAATTGAATATTTTATATCATTTTAAATATTTTTAGGCAAGCAACAATGTTTTTATCAGAAAGTATTGATTTTATAAATAAATTACCAAATATATATACAAATTTTGATGACGCTACCAAAGAGAATAATATTAATTCTGCAAATCTTCTTCATAATATTGTAGGTTTATTTCATATTCATTACAAAGAAAAAACAAACATTTAAAATTATAACATTTTGTATATATTTTTTTTCAGACATCTTGTACAAATAGCGTAGAAAGTAAACTTTGTAATATAAAATCGCTGATTGCAAATGTGAACACATTGCAGAAAAATACAGATATATTGCAAGAATATTGTTTAGTTAATAGCGGTAAGTTTGATTGTGCAATAAAAAATATTTTTTGGTACTCATTTCTTCCACTTTTCAATTAATGAAAAATTATTCATTAATTCTATCTCTATTATGAGAGTATTATCTTTCATAATTACAAATAGTTAAATGATTATTAAATTATCATATAAATCACTTTAGTAAAAGATTTTTAAATTTTTTAAATATCTTAATTTTTTATAATTACTGTAATTATTTATTTTTAGATGAGAATGTGGAAATCTGAACAAATACTGTTTTACATTTTAATCATATTATAAGATATTAACACAAGTTTAATATTATAAAATATTAATTCTTACATGTATTTGTTGATAGAGTTATACTCATTATTCATATTCAATTTTAACATAATTAAATTTGGATCCACCACACTCTGCAACAAATAAATGCTCTTAAAAAATTAAATAACTTTAAAAAACTAATCAATTTTCTTACCATTAATTCTGTAGTGATTTCAGAATTTGATTTCATTTCAGAGAAAGGTATTATTTTGTTATGTGAAACATTTGGATCCCTTTCGGGTGTTTCAATTTCATAAGTGGATGTAACTTTTTTAATTTTACCTCTGTAAAATAAATATATAAATATACATATAAATATATATATAAATGTACTTACTTTGTAGTATTGTATCTTTCAGTTGCAATCTTTTTTTCCCTTTCCATTAATGCTTGAATCTGTATTTGTAACTGATTAAATTTTTCTTTATTTTGATTTTCCAAATGTTTTGCATTCTTTAAAACTTTCATTCCTTCTTCTTTTTTAGTTAGAACTGACTATAAAATATTAATCTTTGGTTTTAAATAAAGAATTAAATGTTTTTAGATATTACCTGTGTAAGATATTCAAGTTCTTTGGCACGTAAAATAAGCAAATTTTCTTTATCTTGTAGAATTTGCTTGTAAATATTAAGTTCGTTAATCTTTTCTTGCCATTTTAATTTTTCTCGATTAGCAGATACATTTGCATCCTGTGCAATTTTAGTAGCAGTTTCCAACTACAATTGTAATTCATCATTTTTGATATAAAAAGCCATTCTTAATACATTCTAATTTGTGTATATAATGTTTTATAATTGCCTGTACCTCTACTTTAACAGCTTCATTATTATTACTTTTTAATTTATTTAAAACTTCTAATTGTGCTTTTTCAGTCGCTATTACTTCTTTTTCCTCTGCAAGTAATTTTAATTGTTTCTCTTGTTCTTTTATCCAGGATTCTTTTAATGCCTACGATCATAATATAAATACATACTATTTGATTTCTTCAGATATAATTTCTAAATATAGCATTAGTGACCTTTTTTTTTTTATTTGTACCTGCATAAACTCTTGTTCCCATTTCATTTTTTCTTCAAATAATTCTCTTTCTCGTAAGAGATTTGCTACTTTCTTATCAAGCGTTTCTTTTGCTTGATAGTACAGTGTGCTTTGTTTTTGAAGTTCAGTTATAAGTTGTGTAAGGTGAGTGTCAAATTTCTCTGTTGTTTGTATAAATTTATTACGATGTTCTTCCAAAACATTGTTGTGATACTTTAATTCAAGTTTTTGTGCTATAAATATTAATAAAAAAAATTAAAAGTCTTGTAGTTGCAAATTATAAAACTAAATAGAATAAATAGAAATATGCAAAATAATTTGAAATATTGCAATGTTATAATATATTATATAATATATTATTATATGCAATACAGTAGTATATTAAATGAAAAATGTATATTAGTATATTGAAAAATTTGAAATATACCTTTCAGATCATCTTCCTGCAATTTTAAAATATTTGCTTGAGATTTCTTTATTTCATCATATTTAATTTCCAATACATTTTTGTTTTCTACCATCCCTTCAATAATAACACTAGCTTTTTCTAATATATCCTCTATATCTGTTTTTCGAGTTGTCATAACTTCAATCGTTTGATCTTCTATTTGCTTGGCTTTAGATATACTTTCTATTATATCACAATATTCTTTTTGTAAGAGTTTTACATTTTCAGAATGTAGTTTACAAAGTTCTTCTATGTGTTGAGCATGTTTGTTCTAATTAAGAGATATTAAGTTGTAAAGTGTTTACCTATATTAATAATTTCTAATATTTTCCAATAATTATTAATTATATCATATTTATAAAGAAATAAATAATAATAATAGTGATTAAAGTAGATTATTAATATATATTATATATTATACAATATAATAAATAACATATATTAAGCTTATATTTAACCTTTAGATTATGAATTTCTTCTTTATATTGGTTTTCTATTTGTAACTTGTCATTTCTTAATTTTTCAAATTTTGTCATATAATCTACTTCTAAACGTTCTATTTCTTGTTTAACTCTTTCTTCTGATTTTGTTATTACTTCTCTCAAAAATGAGATTTGCTTCCTAGAAATCAAATCATTTTATTTTAGTTTACTTTAACTGTTAAGAGTTTAATATAGTATATAATCTAATAAACATACTCATAAAATTCTGCTTGAAATGTTATTTCATTATCATGTTTTTCGTTTATAATGGATAACTTATATTCTAATTTTGATTTTTCTCCCTCTAGTTTTTTTATTACATCTTTCATTTCTTTTATTTCATTTAGAAATTTTTTTTCTTCTTCACTTACATCTGAGTTGCAATTTGTATAAATTGATGTAATACTTGATATTGGCCTTAATTGTGTCGTTAAAACCTAAAAAAAAAAAAAAAAGAAAAATTAGAGGTTTCAAGTTTCAAACATTTTTATATTAGTGAATATTCAATATTATATTCAAAAAGTCTCACATGAATATATTGATTAATGCGTTCTTGCTGCAGTTTTATTTGTTTCTCCAGTAAAGTTTGTTTTTCTAACTGTAATTTTAGAAGAGCATTAAATTGTTCCTCTTGATTATGCAGTATGGAATGTTGAGTATTTGATATTTTATTTAGTTGTTCACTTTGTTGGAAAAGCATTGCTGCTGTTTCTAATTCAGTTTCTTGTTTTATATTTACGAGTGAATTTTGTTGATTTAGTGTCAGTTGTGTATCAAATAACGGTGTAGAATGTTCTTGAAAAATAGATGTATCTTCTAAATTATTTCCACTAGATGTTTCTAAATCTACTCTATTATTTGTGTTGTGAACTTCAATATTTTGTTTAGAAGCAATTGCTTTATCAGTTTTAGCTGTTCCTATCTTTGTTTCTGATTTTTTATCTCCTAATCTTTTTGAATCACTCAACCATTCTGGTAAATCATTTTCTGTTTTGGTATTTTGTACAAAGGAATTTTTAGTTGGAACATTTTCATTTGATACCTTGAAAATCAAAAATATATTTAATATCACAAATGTCATCAATATTGACTAATGTTGCTATATAATAATCTTAACTCTTCTAATAATCTTAGCTCTTTTCTCTGAATATTTACATATATTGTTTAAAATACATTCTTCATACTTCATATATCTACATATATATCTTATTTAATTATATGTTTTCTTATATATTATGGATAATGAAATATAATTACCAATTCAAAATTTTGATCTGATAATAAACCAAGAGGATCATTTATGATTTTTGTATTTCTCCTACCTCTACGAAATTCTTTTGTAGCAGGTTTAGTCAATAGATCATTAGTATTCAATTTTGATTCTTGTATAGTATTTATAGTTTGTGATTCTGCTTTTTTAATATTTTTAGAAATTATAGAGTCCATAACATTTGATAAATGAGGCTGATTTTCAAATAAATGCTCTTTTGCTCTCTTTGCTTTATCTATTGCATCATTATTGATTAAACTTGCTAAATTACTCTTTCCATTTTGAGGTATACTTTTTAATTTTTGTGTATTTTTTTGTTTGGATAATTCAGTCTGAGAAATAAGATTATTCTCAGAAGTTGAGTAACCATTTAGTTTTTGAGAAAACAATTGATTAGATTCTCCTTGCTGAAACTGAAATTCCAGCTCATTGTTTGATTTAATAGTTGCAGATGTAACTGGATTTTTAATTTTGAAAAGATCTTTCATTAAACTATTAGATGTAAATAGATTTTTCTCTTCTTTTTCAGAGATTTCTTCATCGGATAACAAATCAACTAATAAATCCTCATTAGAATCTATATATCAATAAAATGTTTAAATAATTATTTGTGAAAAGAATCAATTTAAAGAAAAATTATTTTTATATTTAACTAAAATATAATTATTTTATTATATTTGTATCTATATAAAAATAAAATATATTTATGCAAAATTGAAAAATGTCATTCCTTTAAATAAATTACAAAAATATTGTATAATCTAGAAAAGCATTCAAATCTTTATGAGATAAATAAATATAAATCACCAGTTTACGTTGCATTTTTACTCTAAATATAAAGCACCTTTAAATAGAACTTTTTTTTTAATTTCTCCATCAGATTGAATATTAGAATCTTTAAAAATGCTTGTAGAATTTGATTTCTTAAATGTATTATTAAATAATTTTATATCTAAACTATCCATATCTTCTAATGCTTTTGTAATATCTTCTAAATTTGTATTTGAAATTTCAGAATGATCAATCATCTGTGTGAAATTTAATAAAAATTAAATAAATAATTACATTATACAAGAAATGGCATAATACATTTTCTATTTTCTACTAACTTCGTTTCACTATAAATAGTAATAGTAACACCTTCAGAAAAATATTAATTAGTTCTTTAATTTTTTTAGTCTTTTTTCATTTATTTGTAAATCACTGATTTAGTTATTAATTAAACATTTAATGGCACTAACTGTGTGGACTATTAACTTTATTCATGTCTTGAAACTGTTACTTAAATTGATTTGCATTCAGATGAATGGTTTCTATGGAGATGTACATATAAACGTACATACATACATATATAGTAAAGAGCAATGAAAAATAATAATATTTCTAATATTTATTATATTTTATCATTTGAAAAATTTCCAGCGTTTTTAATAATGTGCGACATTTTGTTACATTTGACAGAGAATTATTTATTATAAATTTTCGTTGAGTTATGATATTGAGTTACACTTATATATGGTTTTGATTTATGAGAAGAAACAAACTGTAGCTCTATGAAATATAAACATAAATTTTTCATTTTCAATTTGACAACTGAAGATTGTTAATTATACAGGATATAAATCATGGTATATATATATATACAAATTGAATCAGGGCAATTTTGTGCTTCAAACTAACAATAAGACGAAAGTCGAAAATGACAAAATTGTGTTGAGTTTTTGTATTAGATATAATGGTAATTTGTTTGCTAACTGGATACTGCATTGATAACTACATTACGTTTCCTATCAAGTGATTGACATGCGATATATATATTAACGAAGAATATACGATTAAGATTTTTGCATTAGGTACATGTGGTGAAAATGCATTTGCTGCTGCTCGCTATACTGATTGCTGTCATCTGGATAGGCGAGAGCGTATATTGCAAGAGCTATATTTACTTTTAAAGAATTTAGTACTCGTCCGTTATTAATTGAAAATCTTGGTAGCAGTCAACGAATTCGAACGAATGCAGAAGAAAGAGTTTATTCAGTTGTACAACATAATTCCCGAAAAGATTTATCTACTTGTTCAGTAGATCAACGATTTGTAATGAGATCTATAAGACAAACAGTTTGTAAAAACAGTTACAATAACGATTTGTAGTGAGATCTATAAGACAATTATCAATTCATTGCATGTGTACTCGATTGATTTTCAAATGTATTTTTTTAGAAAAAACGGTCTCCAACGCAATTTTGTCATTCACGATTTTCGTCTTATTTTAAGCTACAGAATTGCCTTGATCAATTTGTATCGTGATTTACAAGATATTCTGTATATAACGCTTTCAATGCTTTACATCTAGTGTAACATATTACATATATAACTGAAGATTGAGAAGAAAATTGTAAGGCAAAATGTTAATATCATGCAACTGACACAGTTGAACATTAAATGTAACAATTAAAGAAAAAGATTTGCAATTAGTCGAAAGAACGAAACAATATTAAGACAACATTAATGAAAGATCCAACAAAAATTAATAAATTTTACAAGTTGGAATGATTAATCCCGTTCGTTTTATTTGGTACCATCTTATATTTATTCATCTGATCATTTATCTTATATTTTTTGTAAAACAAGAAATCGTATGTTACAAATCTACAAAATTATATTTGAAGAATTGTAGCGTTGAAAGAAACAAAAAGTTTCACAGTTCTCAATAATTATCCAATAAACAACAAAGAGTTAATAAAAGAAATAATACAGTATGAATAGAAAAAAGGATTTATAACTTTTAGGGTAGATAGTACTCGTTGAAACATGAAAAAAAGTTCTAATAAAAATAGGTATAACTTTGAAACTTTTAATTTTTCGACCCATGTTTATTAAGATTTTTTTCATATTTTGGCGAGGAAGTTATGAACCCTTTTTTATATTCATATATATATCAATTTATATAATGTTGTTATTTAATAAAATTCTAATCTTACGTAAATGCGTTTTTTTTCACCTCAAACTTCAAATTTAATACTGTATTTTTGAAAGATGTATTTTTTAATTTCTAATCGTACAATTTATTACATAATGTAATATAATATATATAAATTTTGACATAAAATATATACATATAGATCTTAATAAAATTATTTGAAGTTGGTTCTAAATTATTGAGAAATTTAATTTGATTCATTATACAAAACTGAAGAATAAATAATATAGATTTTATTAAAAGTGTATTTATAATATTGCAATAACATGCATTATTGAACGTATAAGAATACTTTTATTAATAATAATTTTATTAATTTTTATTAAAAGATTTCATTAAAAATATATTGCAATAATATGCATTGTTGAACGCATGAGAATATTTAAAATTTTTATACATCTGTACAATTACTTGTCTAATGCACGAACATGAACTACCTATCGTCAGGTTTGTATACGCATGCTCATTCGACGTATCAAAAAGTGGGGAAATAGCGAAAGATAGTAGGGAAATGAAAGTGGAGTTTTTTGGTACTACATACATATCCTATATTCGCTCTAATCAATAATACGTTAGAAACTGTTGATATACGAATGTTAGCATTAAGCAATTGTTCTTTCTGATCTTTCACACTTTTAGTAAATTTGAATTTCTTATTGCACGAGATAGCGATGCAGAGTGTCATTAATTCTGTAAAAGGTACTGCGCTTGGTGTTGCCGAATACTTAACCCCTGTGTTAAAGGTATGCTTGTATATAAATATATCTTCAACATAAATATTCTTAAAAAATAATAAAAGAAAATACATTGCACAAATCATATACAATTTTATCTAATGAACATTCCTATTATATACTATTTAATTATCTGCTTGTGTTATGTTGCTATATGTTTGTGATTGATTGTAATAAATGTATTATGTGTGTAAAGACATATGTATACACACACACACACACATATATATAAGATTATTATTTTCATCATAAAAATAATGAAAAAATAATGTTTATTTATGATGCTATTATAATAATAACTTTCTATGTAACAGAAGAAACATTAGATTAAAATAAAATGGATCTTTAAAAACATCTTTGTTGTATACAGATCTTTGTTTTTACAGTACTCTTAGAGCATCTTTATATATAATTTGTAATATTATATTATTGTGTTTTTATTTTTTTCATTTATTTATTATTGCACTAAATATTTATATCCAGTTCCTTTCCTTCTTAATAATAATTTTAATTTGTCGTTATCAAGTATTTTATTTTTTGTCATAATCTTTTGCTTCCTTTTCAATTGTATTTCTTTTGTATTTGATTTTTATTTCTGTTAAAATGTATTATACATGCAAATGAAGTATAATTTTTAATCATGTTGAATAACTTATACTATTAAAGGAAAGTAAATTTCGTGAAACTGGAGTATTAACACCAGAGGAGTTTGTAGCAGCTGGTGATCATTTAGTACATCACTGTCCAACATGGCAATGGGCTACTGGTGATGAAGATAGAATAAAATCTTATCTTCCTAAAACAAAACAGTTTTTGCTAACACGTAATGTTCCTTGTACTCGCAGATGTAAACAGGTATCATTATTTTCAAAATAAATATTATGTAATTAATATAATATGTATATAATATATTCTTTTATTCCAAAACTACATGTAAGCAAACAAGTCACTAATTTCTTCAAGATAAATTTTTTTTTTAACCAATAATTTTATACTTAAGTATTATTTATTTTAAATATGTATTATTAAAAATTCAATTTATATCATTTTTACTGGTTGAAATGTAACTAATATGTAGAAGGAAAAGATTTCTGTTAATGTTATATAATATAATATTGATGTAATATAATTATTTAATATATCTAAATCATATTTTATATAATTATCTAATATATCTAAATCATATTTAGATTGAATACAGCAAAGAACAAGAGTGTATTATAGAAGAAGATGATCCAGAAGGTGGTTGGGTCGATACACATCATTATGATTCAAGTCTTGGTGGAATTGAAGAAAGAGTAACTGAAATGACATTAGATGAAACACAACTTTGCCAATCAATTGGTGCGGAGGAAAATAATGACAATATTGATGGTGACGATGGTGATGACGATGATGACGATGATGAAGATGCTGCAGATATGGAAGCTTTTGAAGTCAGTGGAATGTTAGATGAACAAGATAAGGTATTTTAATTTTAAATAGATATTGTATTATAAGTGATGAATATTTATATTATTTATATATTATTTATATATTATTTAAATTGTTATATTACGTTTTAATAAAATAGTTGTCAAAATCTAAAATTATCATAATTTAATTTAAATTCAAATTAAATAGTATGCAGCAAAAACTACAAAGAAACCAGCCAAAGAAAAATGGGAACCATTTTCTGAAGGAGAAATTATTCATACACGTACATACGATTTATATATTACATATGATAAATATTATCAAACTCCTCGGTTATGGCTGTCGGGATATGATGAGGTCTGTATTTATTTTCCAACTTTATCTATGTTGTGCAAAAAATTATGTGTCGAATATAATAAAATTTTATAATTTTAATATAATTTTTCATAAAAGAATCGTAAGCCTTTGAAAGTAGAAGAAATGTATGAGGATGTTAGTCAGGATCATGCTAAAAAGACTGTTACAATGGAGGTACATCCTCATATTCCTGGACCATTAATGGCTTCAGTTCACCCTTGCAGGTAATTTTAAGTAAATTAATGTTTTTATCAACATAAGAATTATCATTACTGAAATAAAATTATGCAGACATGCTGAAGTAATGAAGAAGATTATTGAAACTGTAATGGAAGGTGGTCGTGAACTTGGAGTACATATGTACCTTATAATATTTCTTAAATTTGTGCAATCTGTAATTCCTACAATCGAATATGATTATACACAAAATTTTATGCTAAACACATCTGGTTAATAGCTTTATAAATTTTCATTGTACCTTAAGAATAAACGTGATTTTAGTTTATAAGTACATATACAACAGAATTAAGAGATTTGTGAAGTATATAATATAATAAATAATTTCAATTCAGAAAACTACAAGCTTGTATGTATACAAGATATTTGAATATAAAATCTAATTTTGTTGACTTTATGTATTACTTGCCAAAATTTGTATCATTTTATTTTGTTACTTTATTGTTATCACAACAACAAAATTAATATTTCCTAATAAAAACTATAAACTACTTCTAAATTATATATAAATTTATAAAATTATATATTAATAGTAAAAAGTAAAATATATAAAAGAACTTAATTTTTTACTGAACCGTATTTGTATTTCATTAAAGTCATTTTTTATCCATTAAATTTTAATTTTCACTATATGAAATCTATCTGACAGAAAGATGATAGGTTTCAATGAATGCTATAATAACATATTGGAAACCTGATGAATTGAGAAAATTTGTATTTCTTCTCTGATTTCGATGTTTGAATATGTTGTAGAAACCAACGTTTTAAACAACATATAATCGGCGGTCGAACCTACTTTCCGAAATATTCGCAAAAAATTATACTACAGTGAATTCTATATTTGTATTAGTTGTATTAGTATTAGTTGCCGGCTGCTTTAGCTTATACAACGTCGTAATTGAATTGAATTGCTGATTAAATTGCGAAAACTTTGTATTTCATGGTCCCATTGTTTGAAATTGAAGCCAGCTTGTTTTTTGTTGTATCGGTCCTGCGACAATTTTTAATAGAAACGTATAATATTTATACATATTTCATGGAATTATTAATTTGTAGAATGGAAAAACATTCTGTTTTATGAATTAAATGAGCCGACTATCAAAATTATTAAATTAATTGTTATGGATCATTGTTGATTGATTCTACATTGATCAAGACAGCTAGTTATGGACATTATCGTTGAATTATCGTCCAATGAATGTCAGTCGATCATACGACAATGATTCTTGTCATCGTAAGATACCCAATTAAGAATTAGGACATAGCCTTATGACCGTTGAATATAATAACCTGATGTAACTCAAATTATTTTTTGTTTATAGTATATGTGTTATGCGACAACGACGAGCCACGAGCTTGGATTGTATCACAAATAGGAAGGATTCAATGTGCTCGTTTTTTATACACTCACCAAAAACCGACAGCTTTTGCGAATATCTCCAGAATTAGATTCGACCGCATTTTATATACAGGATATATACAGAATTAAATAACATGACAAATTAAATAATAACAGAATTAAATAACATAATAATAACTTAATAAATTAAATCGAACATTTAAATTATTTCGGCTGCTATTAATAGGGGTGTGAGGGTATCCGACATTTCGAGTTCGGATCGGGTCTCGAAAGTTTGTGATACTCGGGTACCCGAATATTATAGATTTTTCGAAAAATCTACAATATTCGGATACCCGAACATTACATTACTGGTCAAAGTGATAATTTTTCAATAGGATTTTACATTTATTCTTTCAAATTTGTAAATATTTTTGTATTCTATATAAGTGAAATCAAATTTTAAAAATCCACAAGCAAAGAAAACAGTTGATAATATTATATGAAAATATTATATGAAAACTATTTTATTTTAAATTACTGTGAAGAAAACGCAATTGTTCAACTTTTTGGGGTATTAATTTTGTTCGCGTGGCTGTTACAACGTTGCTAGCGAATAAGCCTTCTTTTATTCGGGTTTCCTTTTTAGTCGGTCGAAAGCCGAGAGTTGCCAAGAGCACTTGACATTGTCGTCGCAGTTATCCATGCATCTTTTTCTTTTAAGTTAATTTATTATACATTGTATACGCGAGTTTCCTGTGAGTTTTATTTATTTCTGAACTCTTCGTCGAAAAGCACTCAAGACTGCTCGTGTTTACTCGATGTAGAATTTTCGTGATATCTTGTAGCTGTGTAACTTAACAAAAGCGATAGTTTTTCCTATTCCGCATAAATAAAGAAACGATAACTTATTTTTAGAAAACATACTTTCCCGAAAAAGTAATATAATTTATACTTTACAATCAATCGAAAATCATTATTCAAGTATTCATTTAATAGATCGCATACAAGCTGCATTAATTATGTCGTTGAGTAAATGCGGACTGAATACTCTTACTATGTCTGCTTTTTTTATTATTGATAATGGCAGCAATATTGTAAATTGAATTGAACCCAATAAAGATTGAAGAAAGAATAAATATAAAATCCGACTGAAAAATCACCCGACTCGCGACGTAATATTCGGGTATAATATCTGAATATTATAGAGTTCCCGAGTCGATCTAAGCACTATCCGATTTCGATGTCGGGTACCCGAGTATTACAAGCTTCCGGGTCCCGATCCAACCCGACCCGACATTTTCAGGTATCCGCACACTCCTAGCTATTAATGTTAAGAAAAAATGACTGAATAAGATTTAAATTTACACAACGCGTTTTCAAGGCGTGCATTTAACATTATTAAAAAAATCCTGCGAAAATAATTTGACAATATTTTTCAAGGTCATTGTACTCTTTTGGGTTATGTTAATATTCATTTTTTATAATGTGATGTCGCAGTCGAGATGAATTCAGCGATCTATAATATCATAACTTTAAAGACGAAAGTGAATTTAATTCTAAAGAATGTAAAAATAATACAACGAAAATAGTAATATTATTGTATTACTATTTTCGTTGTATTATTGTTATTGTTAATATAGTAAAATTATCTTATTTCATGAGATCTTCAAAATGTTACTTACGACTACCTATATACGTCAAGACACGTTTGTATACGATCAGCGAATAATTGAATGGTATTTCCGTGTTTATTTATTAAATAAGTATAAGTATACGTAGTAATTGCGTTACAAAAATGTTTTATTTACTAATTACATTCTAGAGCTCTCTACTAGAGCAATTTAAACACCGTTCTAACAATATAATTTAAACAGTGTGAAAGTATTGTATTTATTAGATTGATCGAAAGTTTATTAATGTTTGTTAAGTGTACAAAAGTTAGTTAATGAAGTTTTGTGATAAAATGTATCAACATAGCAAGAAAAAAATAAATATGAACTTTATGAATAAATTTTATTAACATTAATAAAGTTTTTGAGATCATGATATTTATAGGTCGTTCAATTCGTTTTAACATCGATGAGAATATTATAATATATTGTTATAAATAATGGATGCTAAGAAAGTATGAAGATATGACAAAAATTGTTAAAACGACCTTCAATTTGTTTTTAATAATATTAAATGCACGCCTTGAAATTATTTAAATTCTACTTAGTCATTTTTTCTTAATATTAATAACAATCGAAATAATTTAGATGTTCGATTTAAAATTAACACGCTGTATATAGGAAAAAATTCAAAATGTTAATTTCTATAACATTTAAAAATCATCCAAATCTATAAGATGGACAGCTTAATACATCGAAAAGTTGATTTTTTCGATATTAAGCATTTAATACTTTTTTATTCAGAGTGACATGAGGAATCGCAGCAAAAAAAAAAGAATCAGAATTGCATTAAAAAACAATGCATTTTTCTCAAAAATTATACAGGATGACAAAGCTTTTTAAACAATGCATTGTCACATTCATTATGTATATACATATAATGATGAGGTATCAACGATGAAGTATCACCAATTCAATTCAATAAATAAAAAATTTTTGGTGCGGTATTAGCAACAGTGTCTATATTTCTTTATTTTAATTCCTATCGTCAATAGTGCTGCAGTGCAATACTTGTCTAAATCAATATAATAGCATTGATTAATAGCATTGACTAAAAATAGGATAGATAGGACATTAAATGGAGTTTCGTGTCTCAGGATCTGAAATACCGATCAAGAAAAATATCATCACCGACGAAGTATATGAATAGACCTAGCACTTTATTTTTCGTGGCCGGGGATCTGAAATACCGACATAGTAAAAAAAAATCATGTAGCGGCCTAGAGTCCCTCGAGTACGAGTTTCGAACACCCACTCGTACAAGCCGCAAGTGGCTGTGCGCCTAGCGTCGAAGTCAACCGATATTCGATGTTAAGCAAACAGAGTGCGGAACCGCTAGGATGGGTGACCACATCCAGCCTAGCGAATAGTTACAACAACAAGCGTCTGGGGTAAGGTAAGGAGTCGCTGCCATCAGCCCCATTGATGAGTCTAGGCAGCGACTCTGAGACGAAACGCGCACAACCTTTCCTCACCTTACCCACATCATCACTTCCTACATTATCCTCGCATTATCATCGCCATTTCAAACCCTTCAATCACTGGTTTTCTAGCGCACTCTACGTTTAAAGAACGGTGAATTGGGGAATTACATAAAGTAAAACGATAGAAGTTGATTAAGTACCGAATACGCCAGGAATACGATTTTTGAAACCCATTACAGTGTTGTCAAACTTTCAATACTGAAATGTGATGTTAGTAATTAACCGAAATCATCTTACTACATACTAGAGACCGAATCGGTATTACGGATACCGGAAAAATACCGGTATTTTTAAATTACTATTCGATACCGGTTTGATGAAACCGAAATATTGCGAATACCGGTATAACGATGTTAAGTCGGTAGATGTGTTTCGGTATACCGGTATGAATCCGGTACAATAAAATAGTAATATATTAGAAAAGGAAAAGGAGACAATGATTAAATGTTTTCATAAAGCTGTATAATTAAATTTGACGACGCTTATTCTTGGTTGCGGGTCCTCTCCCAAAAAAATTCCTCCTTCTCTCTCATCCTCCTTTTTGTTCTATCTATACCACTTACCTTCTATATTTATTTTCCCGAACCTAACTTTTGCTTCTCTATTTTCTAGCCTCTCCCTCTTTGCTCTCTCTTTCAGTTCCCTCTGTATTCTCCTCTCCTCTTGTTAAGTTATGATCTATGTACATTCTTTTTCCTGCCAGTCTCTTCTTCTTTTCCATTACAGTTTGCTTTGTTCCCCAATCTCTCATCTCTACTATTGCTATATTGCACTATTCCCCCCTTCCTCTTGTCTCTACCCTACTTATTCTATCTTTTATATCAAAAAAATTCTTCCTCCATGAATTCTTCCACCTTCTTCTTTGTCTCACTGTTTTTCATCTTTAGTCCCCTAATGACTATTTTATTTTTCCTCTCTTTCCTATTTGTTCTTCCATTCTCCTTTTAATCTTCCTCATTTCTCCTTACATCTCTTTCCTCTCCTCTCCTTGCTTTGTTTCTTCTTCTCTCCGTTTACATTCAAATTTCTTTTCTACCCTCTCTAAGATTTATCCTATTAATTCTGCTCTTTCTTCGAGTTTTCTTTCCTTTTCTCCTCTCGCTTTCCCTTATTTTTTGTAGTGCTTCCTCTATTTTCTTACCTAACTCTTCTTCCTTTCTTTTCCATCTTTCTTTCATGCATTCTATTCTTTGGGCTAGTCCGTTTATTTCTTTCTCTATCTTCTTTTCTAATTCCCTTCCTTCCTTGCATCCCTTATTTCCGATTGTATGCCTTCTATTCTGCTTATTATTACATCTAACATATCTTGCGATGGTTCCTTCTCTTCTTTTCTTTTACTTCTTTCATTCCTTTGTGGGGTTTTCTTCATATCAGTTCTTTTTTTGGTTCTTTGTTGCCTCCTCTCTTTCATTCTCTTTTGCATCTCCTTCCTTCTTAGAGAGTCCACTCCATTGTTTCATCATTTTCCTACTATTCCTATCTCCTAACACTCTTTTCTCCTATTTTCTTCTTTCGAATGTCTTTTTCTCTTTTCCTTCTCAGTGTTTGGAGTGTCTAGAACCTCATCCTTTTCTCTGTCTTTTGTTTCCTTGCTTTCTAAGTCAACCATTCTTTTCTTATCTCATATGCTTCTACTTTTAACCTACAATCTAATTTTTCTCACCTAATTTTTTTAATTTCTTACTTATTTATATTAATTACCTTAAATTTAGTGATTATTTCTGTTTCTTTACTGTACTGTCTTTCTCTATTTCCGCTTTTAATAAGATTGGGTATTCCAGGCTTTCTAACCTAACCTCCCTTTTTCAAGTTCCTCTATTATTTGCTTACTTTCTACTTCCAACTCTATTTACTTATTTATCTCTCCACTACGATTTCTATTCTAGCCTCTTTTGCCTTCGTTTTTGGAATTTATTCCCTTTTATTTACCTTAACTTTCTATTTTTTTCGCATCTCTCATATAGCACTCTTTACCTGCCCTCTAACCAAGTTCAATTATACTTTTAATTATTACTCATTATTTAAATAAAAATTCAAATGATTCGAATGCGAGTAGTCGCGATACTTCAGGTTGAATCGGATAATTTTGGTTGAGCTCAGGCGGATTTAGAAACATACGAAAAATTCTCTAACTCGTCTGTTTCACTAGT